GTACCGTGACTTTTTAATGAGTTTCAATGATAGGATACTAGACTTTGATATATGTTATGCCATTTTTATTGCAAAAGATACTGGCATTTGTTAAGACATACTACATCATGCTATTTTTATGGCATGCTATTGTACTTTGACATTTCTATGACTTTTTACATTTGATATTTTAATGAAATATTATAAACTAGAAAATGCATTTCCTGCTGAAAATGCGTTGGAATGCAAAAAGCTGAAAGCTGAACTGAATTTTTAAAGATAGCTGAAAAAACAGAAAGTTGAATTTGAATACATTTGCTGAAATTACAGATATTAGAAAAGCTGAAATTAATTTGAAATAGCTGAAAATACAGATATGGGAGAAGCTGTATGGAATTTCAATAGATTTGTTGAAAAAGCAGAAATGAAAACAGCTGAAATAAATGTGAAATATTGCAAAGAAATACAGAAATTAATATTAAAACATTGCTGTTAATACAGGCATAAGAAAAGCTGAAATTATTTTAAAGAGCTGCTGAAAATACAGGAAGTGGGAAAGCTGAATTTCGCAGCTACAGGAGCAATGTTGGGTTAAGTGTCTTGCCCAAGGACACATCGACATGCGGGTTAGCCAGGACTGGGTCAAACCCACAACCCTCTGATTGGAGGACGACCGTGCTCCCCACTCACCCAGTCGTATGATTCTCAAATTTGCAGACTAGAGTTTACAACATTTTATTACATACCATGTTATGATATTTTGATGACTCATACGACAGGATATTTAGATGGAGTAATATCAAGTTACTCGTATTCGTTACTCTGAGGTCATCCAGCATCCGCTGCTTGTCTTAAATCAGTGGTTCTTAACCTTGTTGGAGGTACTGACCCCCACCAGTTTCATATGCGCATTCACCGAACCCTTCTTAATTGGAAAAATACAATTCAAAACATAGGTATATATTTTACTGGTGCACAAAATGAACAGTGCATCAACATCAGTGTTCAAAGAACAAAACCATTAAAACAATTTTTAATACTTCTGCCAGTTTTGGAGGCAAGGTTTTTGTTGCCAACGCATGCCTGTGCAGAATACAATGAGTAACAATGATGTGTGGTGCATCGGCTTTCACTAGCGAACTTTCTTCCCAGCATGACTGGAGCTCCGTCCGAACAAACTGCAGAAACCATATCCCACGAAAGATTGTTGTCTTTGAAGAAGTCATCCACAAGTTTCTTCACATCGGCTGCCTTAGTTGTTGTCGTAAGAGGCTTACAAAATAAAAAATCTTCCTTTATCACGTTGTCTTTCACATAGCGCACAAATACAGCAAGCTGGCTTAGATTGGAAACGTCTGTGGTCTCGTCCAGTTGAAGGCTGAATTTTGCCGGGCTTGAAATCAGATCTGCAACTACTTGAGCCAAGATGTCTTTGCTCATGTCCTCTATTCTGTCGCTAATGGTGTCATTTGAAAGAGGAATTTGGGATAACTGAACTTCAGCCGCTTTTCCCAGCATGATATTCGCCATCTTCAACACAGCTGGTTTTATGAGTGTTTCGCCAATGGTGTGTGGTTTGCCCTGCTTTGCGATCAGGTAAACAACTTCGTACGATGCTGTGAGGATCGGTTTGTTGATAGGTACAAAGCCGAGAACAGGCAGAGTAGCCTTTTCATCAAATCTGCCTCTCTTCACCTTGAATTCAGCGAGCGTTGTGTTCTTGTATTGTCCATCTCCATGCAGGTTAAGGAAGTGTTCTCTTAGTTTTGCCGGTGCTAGACTAGAATTGCTCAACTTGGCATTGCAAATCATGCAGTTAGGACGCTGACTCCCATCACGTTCCGTTATACATGTGAATCCATATTGTACATATTCGTCCGACCACTTTCTTTTCGATTGAACCCAGGTTAAGAACCACTGTCTTAGATACCGTGTAGGAGGAGACTGAGCCTCTGCTAACGAGCTTCTCTGGAGTTCAGAACAGAGACAATAAATAAACCTTAGACACCATTCATCCATCCATCTTCAAACCGCTTATCCTGCACACAGGGTCGTGGGGGGGCTAGAGTCAATCTCAGCCAAGTTCAGGCGAGAGACGGAGTACACCTTGGACTGGTCAGCAGCCAGTCGCAGGGCTAACACAAAAACACACAACCATTCACACTCACATCCACACACACCTACGGGCAATTTAGAGTAACCAATTAACCTAATCCCCAATGCATGTCTTTGGACCTTACAGACACAAGCACCATCAGGTGCTCACGCCTCTTCATCATTATCACCTTCCCCTCCCCCACCAGCAACGACCCTCTCTATTCTGGAGAGAGACGTTAACCGGCTCTTTAGAAGACTAAATCCCCGTAAGGCAGCCGGTCCGGACTCCGTTTCCCCTCACTCCCTGAAGCATTGTGCTGACCAGCTGTCTCCGGTGTTCACTGACATCTTCAACACCTCCCTGGAGACATGCCACGTACCAGCCTGCTTCAAGGCCTCCACCATCATCCCTGTCCCCAAGAAGCCCAGGATCACAGGACTCAATGACTACAGGCCCGTCGCCCTGACCTCTGTAGTCATGAAGTCTTTTGAACGGCTAGTCCTGTCCCACCTGAAGTCCCTCACCGACCCCCTCCTGGACCCCCTGCAGTTCGCCTACAGAGCCAACAGGTCTGTTGACGATGCTGTCAACATGGCCCTCCACTACATCCTCCAGCATCTGGACTCCCCAGGAACCTACGCCAGGATCCTGTTTGTGGACTTCAGCTCTGCTTTTAACACTATCATCCCGTCTCTGCTGCAGGACAAACTCTCCCAGCTGCACGTGCCCGACTCCACCTGCAAGTGGATCACAGACTTCCTGTCTGACAGGAAGCAGCACGTGAAGCTGGGGAAACATGTCTCAGCCTCTCGGACCATCAGCACCGGTTCCCCCCAAGGCTGCGTTCTTTCCCCTCTGCTCTTCTCCCTGTACACCAACAGCTGCACCTCCAGCCACCAGTCCGTCAAGCTCCTGAAGTTTGCGGATGACACCACCCTCATTGGACTAATCTCTGGTGGGGACGAGTCCGCCTACAGGTGGGAGTCTGACCATCTGGTGTCGTGGTGCAGCCAGAACAACCTGGAGCTCAACGCTCTAAAGACAGTGGAGATGGTTGTGGATTTCCGGCGGAACAGAGCCCCAACCTCCCCCATCACCCTGTGTGACTCCCCCGTCACTATTGTGGATTCCTTCCGTTTCCTGGGCTCCATCATCACCCAGGACCTCAAGTGGGAGCTGAACATCAGCTCCATCACCAAGAAGGCTCAGCAGAGGTTGTTCTTCCTGAGGCAGCTGAAGAAACTCAACCTGCCCAAAGACGATGATGGTCCACTTCTACACGGCCATCATCGAGTCCATCCTCTGCTCCTCCATCACCGTCTGGGACAAGGGCAGGCTGCAGCGTGTCATCCGCTCTGCAGAGAGGGTGATCGGCTGCAATCTGCCGTCCCTGGAGGACTTGTTCGCTTCCAGGTCTCTGAAGCGAGCTAAAAAGATCGCGGCCGACCCCTCCCACCCCGGACATAAACTGTTTGTGCCCCTTCCATCTGGCAGGAGGCTGAGGTCCATCAGGACTACGACCTCCCGCCACACGAACAGTTTCTTCCCGTCGGCAGTCGGGCTCATCAACAGAGCCCGGTCCCCCACTGCCTGACTATAACACTCCACCGGTCACTCCCCCTCACACTGCACATGCCACTTTAACTGCAATTCATCACTTTGTCACTTGTCACTTTGTCTCTTGTCTGTTACTTGTTTGTTAGTGCACTTTATGCTTAATACTTTTCTTTTTAACTTTTTAATATTTAAAATTTGTTTAACTTTATTCCCTTGTTTTTTTTACTAACCCATAGCCTTAGCCTTAGCCTTATTCTTACTAACCCATTGCATTAGCATTTCATTCCACTTTATTTTATTACCTGTGCACTGTTGTCTTGTCTGTCTACTGTCGCGCACTAACCGCCAAGACAAATTCCTTGTATGTTTGACATATTTTGGCCAATAAATGTTTCCTGATTCCTGATTCCTGAAGATCGTTAAAATGTATAAACCATGTCATTTGACTGTTGCAGTTTCTAGCTGTGTATTGACAATAGTGCTTTTCACCACTCACCTTGATACATTCCTCTCCATCCATTCTGCTTCTCCTCCCCCAGCACTTCATGTTGTTACCCTGACAACCAACAAAAAGACAAATGAGCCGCTTAAATGGGCTGAAAGATAATGACGTAATGTCAATATGTTTGCTAGACCACGTTGTATAGTTGTGATAATGTTCTAGGTCATAATGAAGCCAAAGAGGCCACTGAATTTAAAATATTTGCTACGCTTGCACCATTCGACATTAAACACAATGCAGCTGGTAATGAGAAAATACATCCTATATCAGAGGTTCTATCAGATACCAATTGAGATACCTTGAAATATCATTCATCGGTGAACGGATTATAGCCCACGCAGTTATTTGTATCTGTTGAAAGACTTATTAACCCCTAGAAAGTCACAAAACAAGCACTTTTAGAAGGCTGTTAACAGTATACTACACATTCAGTAAGGTGCTGCATTTGTACTTTTAACCACCATTTCCTTAGTTTACTTTTTTTCATTTCAGTGAACATTTACGATTCGACACTTAAGTGTATCTAGCATGAACAGAACAATTTACTTTGGGATAAATAAAGTTCTACCCAGTCTTTAATTGTGTTGCTCTGAATACATGTTTAGTGGCAGTCAAACCTTTTCCAACACATGAAAGCAAAACATTTTCAAGTGTTACCATGACTACCCTGTCTGCAGACTTTCCAGATACATTAACATGAATCCATTGTTAGTGATATTGTGGAACTACTATTGTGTAGCCTGTGCAGATTTCCTCCAATAGTATACTGGAGTTTGTAAACAGATGCTCAAAGACTCTAAGCAGAATGTCATCAAACTATCCACAAAATGCACTCGACTGAAAAAAACAAACCAGACAGAATGCCACTGTTATGTACAACGGTTTATTCTTGATTTGCAAAACATCTGACAAAAATAACATTACATGAACACCAATTGATAATAGAAAGAAGGTCTTCAAATTCTTTTTTTTTAAAAGACATCATAAATTGCATTTACATTAGAATTTAGGTGACTTGACTTTATTTTTAGATAATTGAGGCCATTGCATGCTGATCTACCCAGGCAGTTTGTGGCTAATAAATTCAGATCAGTATGCATGTGTTACAAACATTATATTAAGTGCTTTTGTTGGTTTGGGCATTTTAATTGAAAGTGGCATGATTTGGGTTCACAGTAATGGGTGCAAATGAAATGCCAAATTCAAATTTACTGTTATAGATTAATACACATGGCCAACTAAGTGCTAAGAGGCCAATTTCAGAGGCAACCCTCTCATTTGAATTAAGATGGGGAACATCGGGGGTAAGCTTAATCAAGACCCTCCATGAATAAAAAGGGTTAAATTATGCCTCACAGCTCAGGGTAGCCGCGACCATGGCAATATTGTTCCTCAGTATTCACTGATCAATAAAAAGGATCTTATTCATTCAGTGTTTACCAGAAGCAGTTTGACATGAATACACTAAAGTGAGTAGTTTCTCCGTCATTATGATACTGTGATCTCAAAAAAGATTTGTTTTTCCCAATAAGCACTAGAAAGTTGCGTGTTGGACTCGAGGCTTGTCGCCCCACTAGGGGGCTGACATTTTGGACGATGCCTTCATTAATTGGTGTCAATAACACACAACTTTGTGATGCTCAAGTTAAAAAGCAGCATTGCATGGATATTGAGGCTTTAACTTTTACTAATTCCCCTTAAAGGACCAACCATTGGCAGGGAATGATGAAGGTGCAGGAGTAGACGTAAGGACAGAAGGAGAGGCCCGGAGAGGGTAAGGGGGAAATGAAGGGACAAATAATTGGGATAAGATAACAATAGTGTACTACAGAGCCGAAACCATGCTAAAAAGTACCTAGTGGAGCGCAAACACACCTCTCGCTTCTCCTACTGCCTCAAAGTCTTTCAGGTTCCTTCTTTTCAACTGCATTCACTCCACAAAGTCCTCCACTCCAGTTCGCACTCAAGAACTATAAAGATACGGCCGATATCAGCAGCACGGCAATCCGTTTAATCTTGTCGGTTGCAAAAAATTGCCAAGATATCCAAAACACAAAGATGTAGAGAAGGATGTTGTTTTTAGAGTAAATACAGCCTCACTCTAGCCAGTCTGAGCCCTGTTGGTCAGAGTGAAGGCACTATATTAAAAACACTCCTGGTATTTTGAGCGTGGAAAAAAAAAAAAAGTCAGAGAAGAAAAAAAGGGTACAAAAAACAAAACAAAAACTATGACTTCATTAGCTGGATTCTCCCAAATGTGTGAGATATCTCTGAGGTAATCATTGAAGTATGACTCATTAGACAGCAATAAATACCAACATACAAATATTACAAAAAGTAAAAACAGAGGCAAATGCTTAATGCTAAAGCAAAATCTGAGCTAAAAGAGGTAGGTTTTTAGGTAAATTATGGTGTACATCCATTGTGAACACTCCTTTTTGTAAGAGCTAAATTAGGTTGATTCCATTACAATCCCTGTCCTAATGGGAAGAACAAAAATAAGAGAAAAGACTTGAAAGCCTTCATGTGGGAGATGGTTATAAATGAATGATCTCATACATGTTTTTAATGACAGGATTTGTAATGGCAATTGTTATAAAGTGATACTAATATGATATACAGTAAAGCTTGCTGGTGATAGTGTACCATGAGTTGTGTATTGCAGGTCCTAAAACAGATTTATGTTGCCAATCTAGAGGAAATCTCCCAAAGATGGATCCATCGGAGTTGACGTACGTTTTTCAAATTCCAGTATTTTCAACAACCGCAATGCAGTTAAAAAAATACGGATTCTTTTAAAACAAGACAGAAAACGCTGTGGATGCACCATATTTCGATTTAACTGTATTTGCATGTTATGTGCTGCATGTTGGTTAGGAAATGGAATGGTGATGTGATTAAACCAACATTTAAATCACATCATCGTCATACAAAAGGGGAAAAGAGGGTTCACTCACGATTAAGATTAAAAGTAAGTACTGACCAAAATCTACTTGTTCAATTAGCGGCTATATGATGCATCCGCCACTCCTCCTGTACAGTTTTCAAAGCCCCAAGAGCTTCTTCTCTTTTACCCTGTTCTTTTGGAGAGGGAACTCTTCCTGTGGTACTTACAAGGTTCATCAAGCCTCCCGCGGTATAATACATACAGAAATAAACACTGCATCTCTATCTGAAAAAAAGATACTGAACTAAATCAAACCCATACCTACATACAAAATGTATGTATTCAGAGGAAATCAACGTAGAAACTTTTCAAAATCTTCAAAAGTCAGCATTCAGTAACCAAGCACATCGTATCCCTCATCAAACTGACATCCTGTACATAGGAGTGGTAATGCCTAAAGACACTCAATCTGTAACTCCTTAAAGTTCAATCACAGTTGGGGGATTCGTGGGGCATATCGATTAGATGTCCTTATGATTATGTGAATATGCAAACATCTAAAAGCAATTCGTCCGTCTCTTCTACGCAGATCCTTTTTGAGTCCCACCGTGACTGATGAAGAGTCGGAATAAAGCCACAGTTGCAGAGAAATAAAAGGAAACAGTCACAACTTCACACACATCCAGCAGGACAACAAACACATGCTCTCTCCCAACGACTTCCTCTGGGACCACACAGTAATCATCGTCTGCTCTCGGGTTTTACCCATGAGGCCTTATGGCGAACTATTGGAACCGTATTGACTGAGATCTCCCATCAAACAGCAAATACAAGACAAGCATAATTTTTCTCTCACGTCATATCTGCAAATTACTTTTTTTAATGCCAAGATGCTGTAGTGAAAACATCTGAACTTTGGGAGAATTTGAGTAAACCCTTGGGCAATTGTCTTAATACAAATTCATTTGACCATAATTCCACATGCAGCAAGTCATACATTAATGGTCCTAAACTGAAGCGTTTAAAATTCTCTTGGCAGTTTGGTTTATAAGCCATAAGGATGAAGCCTAAGCCAAAGATGACTGAAAGCACTTTGACAGCAGAGAGAAGGCATACGAGCTCCTATCACATACAAGCTTATCATCTTCCAAGAGCCATGGATAAAAAGCATACAAGTTTAAAAGATTATATAATGAGGATATCCAAGGCCCTGGGGTCATTACGACGCACTGTAATGTATCAGGTGTACAACTAGCTTAATAGTCTATATGGCTTATATTAGAGATCAGCGTTTCTAAAAAGTTAACCTTGGAAATTAAGCAAATATATCAAGCCACCACTGAACAAATAGTCAAATATACAAGCAATCCCTGTTTAAGCCAAATTCTTACCCATAAAACATGATCAAAGTCAAAACAAACAAGAATAGCGTCATAGATAAATAAAAAAAAGGGTAAATATTGTATTTTGCATATACACAATAACCCTTTTTCTTATAATAAAATTCTTATAATTTTAAATTTGCCGTGAGAAAAATCTACGTAGCCCTACGTACAGCAACACAATCCAACCACTAGAGGGCTGCGCAGCATACATCATTAAACAGGAGGGCACGGGTCTCGAGGTGCGAATCACTCTCGGCCAGGCTCTCCGACATTCTAGAATCCACTTCCCTGTTAGAAACAAAAGGAGTTTGATATCCGGGAGGTCTGAAGCAGCTTTCCAAGCTCTGCGCCCATGGAGCTTGCCGTGTACTAAGGAGGAACAATTCATGGAATTGTTTTTAACGGTGAAATGACGTATGAAACAAACAAAAAGAAAACATCCATTGCAATTACATATGTAATTCCAAGTATGGTATGCAGCTATATTATTTACAAGATGGGCCCCTTGCTTTGGCCTCATTTTACTATTCCAGTTAAGATTTGGCATTTTAGCCCTTAAAAATCTGTGATAATAGATACTATGTATACTAAGACATAGGGTTGAGTAAAAGGGGTGCTAACAGTGCTTAGGATACACGTGGTAGTAATTAACTATTTACAAGGAAACAAAAATTAAACAAAAAGTGTAGAAAAAAGAAAAGACAATTTTAGAAGAGCGTAACAAGCCAATATGCTGGCTTGGTTTGATTGACAGTTAGCAGTGTAAAAGTAGCTAATACATTTAGTGGCTAATTCTCCCCTCAAAACCAGGCACCCCAAAGTCCTACCCAAACCTCACAAAAAAGCTGACTAAGTTCTGCACTGCAGTATAAACCTCAAATATGAGCGTTTCCTTCATAGGCTGTGTGGCTAGTGGGACAAACTCGCACGCATGTTGAGTTGGCTGCATTTGTAATACCAGGCCATGAAGAAGCAAGGTTATTTTTAGCTACTGGAAGCTTCGTGAGAAAGTAGTAGACTATACCTTTGGTGAAAGGCAAAAGGCATGTGTTTGAGTATACATATGCTGCATGGAGAGAAGCAGATGAAAGACACGATAAAGTTAAACCTAAAAAAAAAAAAAAAGAGCAGGCACTGCTTTTGCGCTGATAAACCAAAGTGTCATCCTTGCGGAGTCTAAATTGTTAAAGTGACTGTTCCACATATGTGATGTAAAACAAAGAGGTAGCTCAACTGAATGGCTAACGTAATCTCTGAGTATGCTTGTTGTTTTGATATGTGCACGGCACGTACACACACACAAATGTCCTGGCATTTCAAGCAGCAGTTTGATGATTTGAATAGACAAAAACACTGTTTGATGTATACATGTATAGTTCAATTTGTATTGAATGAAGGTTGCTTATGCACTACCTAACTCAACATCTGTCTTCTCTCTGTAGAACCTTGGTCTTAATCCCAAAATGGACTTCCACACACACACACGCACGCACACACACGCACACGCACGCACACGCACGCACGCACACACACGCACGCGCACACGCTTTACACTCCACACCTCCACTAAGTCCAGCCAGCACATACTCCGCTCGCTGCCTGCCTGCTTGCTTTTTTTTTTTCCCCTACGCATCTCATCACCAGCTTCCTCTCCACCACTGAGGTTCAGAGGCTCTAAGAGACTTCACTGCCAAAAACCTCCAAAACCAGCGGGGTGAGCTGCAGGCTGTGCTCCGGCTGGAAGGACAGCGAGCGGTACTGTTTGGAGTGCTCCTCGTTGAGGCTACGCAGGTCGGCCAGCTTCTGGATCATCTTGGCGTAAAGCAGCCGTCCTGCTGGGTGGTGAAGCTGGATGTAGGCCTGCAGGGTCTCGGACAGTTGGTCCTGGAGGGCTTCGACCCGTGCGTGATCCTGCACCCCGGGGCGGTCTGCAGAAGGGGAGAGGAGAATGTTCAAATATTTAGGTTTGTTACACATCCAAAAAGGCAAAGCCAATGCCGTGATGGGTCTCCCTGCCACCGCCATTCAACCTCTGCAGCTCATCCAGAATGCAGCAACTGGACTAGTCTCTAACCTTCCTAAATTCTCCCACACTACTCTACTCCTCCGCTCTCTTCACTGGCTACCGGTGGCTGCCCGCATCCAGTTCAAAACATTGGTGCTCACGTACCATGCTGTGAATGGATCGGGTCCAGCTTACGACCAGGACATGGTCAAACCCTTCATCCCAACCCGCGCACTGCCAAACTGCTTGTTCCTCACTCACTGAGAGCAAAACACTCAACAAGATCACAACTCTTTGCTGTCCTTGCTCCCAAATAGTGGAACAAGCTCTCTGATGACATCAGGACCGCAGAGAGCCTTCACATCTTCCGCCGCAAACTAAAGACACACCTCTTCAGACTCTACCTCGACTAAAAGACTAACAAATTGTAGCACTTAAATTTCTTGTTCATCCGTTTGTATCCCTATGGTTGAATGCACTTATTGTAAGTCGCTTTGGAAGAAAGCGTCAGCTAAATGACATGTAATGCAAGTTAAAATCTGTGTTCAATTAGTAGCTTAGATCTGCACCTCAATGTGAATTATGTTGACTGATACACAGAAACAATGCTTGATTGGATTTTTTCCCATTCAAATATTCAAGTTGATCTCTTGCAAAAATAAGCTATACATTTAATATATTCTTTATTAGGAAAAAAGGGGCAAATGAGATCAGTCAGAAGAACCTCAATATGTTCCCTCCTCCACGCGGTCAGACCAACGGTACCTGGAGAAAGCAAGCAGATGGCCATCAGCAGCACATGTTCCTCCTCTTGCAGGTTGAGCTTCTTCAAGCCCACCTGGAACTTTACCAGTGGCTCCAACAGGTCCAGAGTGTGGCCCGCTATAGAGGACACAAGCCTTGATTACTTTGCACCACTTCCAATCAGTTGCATACAATATCGTAGAAGAAAGGCCCTCCAGAGAGTGTGACCATCCGGCCTATTCATTAATATTTCATGTTGTCTGTTGGAATCATCTTTGGTTAAGATTTTTTTTTGCATGCTGTGCATTCTCATGTTTGTTGTTTTTAATAAGAACTGAGAATTGCTCTACGTGCAATTTTGGGAGGGAATCGTTTTGAATAGATAAATGAGAGGCCATAGAAATAATGATCAAAAGTGAACTGCAATACTCTGAGCACTGTGTAAACTGTGCATAAATCAAAGGTTCTGTTTCCAGATTAATCAATCTTTGTTATTAACAAATAGTTCACGTTTTCTTCTCACTCTTCGACAATTGTTTAGTTCAATCAAATACTAAAGGCTAACTTAGAACGATAAAGTGCAATAAAACAAGATCAAATCAGCATTATCAAGAGGTCCCTTAAATGTTGTGTGTTTAACTAAATAATACACCAATTTGTGGAATCGGTGCAGTATTGTCGAGAGCTCTGCAGGGGGCATGAGCTCCCAAGCTGCATGGTTATCCTAACGGCGCAACCTGGCACCACCAAATCAGGTCTACCAAATGTGCTGGTTTTTGCATTTTCATTATGAAAATGGGCATCACAGAAGTCTGATGCAATTTAAAGATCTGGTTCATTTCAAGATGTTTTTTGCTAACTAAAAAATTAGTTACTAGACAAAATGAGGAATTGAAAATGATGGCCGTTTTCTAATCATCCACCCCAGCAAAGGACTGCCGTATTACCAAAAAATCTTGCTAATGAACTGAGGCTGTGAAATAAGGTGAGAATTAATTTGAAATTCGATTTTTCGATTTCTCTCGATTCTCTCTAGAATGATATTCGGTCTTGATTCAGAAAAGTGAATAATCGGAATAAAAAAAATTAAAAAAAGCCTGTCTCGCGCGAGACATTTGCTCGCTCGCGGAGCGTGAACTTCCTCGCTCGCAAGGTTAGTCTCTGCGCGCTCGCTGTTTTTCTTTTTGACAGTAACGGGGCGGGGCCAGTCACCATGGTCTCTACACCTGATTGGTTACAAACCCCGTCTTTGGATTGGCTGGAGTGATGCATTGACACAACTATAGAAGCCCATTTCTGCACTAATGTAAGGGGATAAAAAGAAATTATGAGATAAAAGGTTGTCAAAAAAACAAATGCTCCCCTTCGGTAATCGTAGTGGACCGTCAATGACAACCAGCTACAACCATCATTTACCATTACCGGCACATTAAGAGCAATGCGTCCAGCTCGCAGACCGGTCCGTCAGTCTGAATCTGTGAATATCTAATAACTTTACCGAACTATGAAGGAGCCTGCGCATATCTTACGTCATTATTTAGATTTTCCAAAAAGTCCATCCGTATTGAAAGTTGGCAAGATATTCACAGATTTGGACTTTTTTCCGGTATTTTACAAATACGGAACGGTCTGAGACTAAGAGCAGCTTTTTCGTCATTTGTCATCTGTTTAATTTTTTTTTTTTTACATAGGCTACTTCATATTGTGTTGAAATGCAAGCTGCATTGGTTCTTGAATTCTTGATAGAAAATCAGATTTGTGACAAAGATTTTTTTTCTCTTATAAAAAATTAGAGAAGGTAATTGTCTGGTATCTGTTGATTTTCTTTAATTATCAAATAAAGTAGGAAATGATTAGCAACCTCTGAGTAGCAAACTCAGATTTGAAAAAAGTTAGAAAATCGAGATGCATCAATAATCGTTTTATCAGTTTAGAATCGATAATCGGTTTAGAATCGAATCGTTGACCTCTGAATCGGAATCGAATCGTGAGGTGCCAAAAGATTCCCACCCCTAATCTGTATTCCAGTCATGTTCATGTAAACTACTACTTGATGTTTTAGCAGATAGAGCAGCTTCTGCTGGTCCAGACAGTCGCTGTTTAATGCGGTCAGCAGCTTAGGAGTGACATTCTTTGGTTGATCCCATAGAGTCTTGTTTGAAACTGGTAAATGAAAGCCTTAACCACAGGAGCCTCTGCGGATACAAGAGACTGCTTTTGCAGTCTTACATATCCACGAAACGTGCTTCTTTCAAGCTATTTATAGAAGTGAAGGTGTGTGTTCTTCAGCCATCAGCTGAGCAAAATTTGTTGACAAGCACGGATTAAAACAATAGCTTGTCGTAACAGTTGTGAGACTGTACACTGACCTTTGGTGACGTCGCTGACCTGGTATTTATAGTCAGGCCCACCACAGCTCCAGGACATGTCTTCCAGGTTGAAGCTCTGATTTGAGCGCAGCATGATCACCTCAATGGCGCTGGACTTGAGCAGGGCAATCTGGTCCTCCGCAGTCAGCTCCCTGCGGGAAAGAGATTACGTACCGTTAGTGAACCCCAACAACACCATATTAAACCAATCCAATAACTGCAATCACGCAGATTCACAACTCCAAATTGATAATCAATAAAAAAACTCAATGGAAATGTCTTAGTATCTTTGTTGTTAAAAACACAATCTCTGAATCCAAACGATGTCAGAAGGTGCAGGTTTTATAACACAAACGGGTATATTTTGTCTATGAATAACAAGCTATCAACATAGAGCGGATAAGTTTAGCGAAAAACAACAACTTTAATTTGAAATGAACCCTGCCCTTTCTACATGTTTGGATTATGTCAGCTGATCAATTTTATAATTCATTCCAACGGATTTTCAATGGTTTACTGACTACCGGTTCAAAGTACTTCAATGTTCAAAGATATGCACTTTATACGAAAACATTCAAAATATTAATTTCTGTTTGGTTCCGCTGTCTTGGATTTTGAAGTCAATTACTTATCATAAATCAGATTTTTCACTCTTATAGTAAAATCCTGAATCTGTAGATGTTATGAAATATCTAAAGGGAAAGCACTGAACTAGCAGGAGATGGAGCTGAAACCCGTGGATCTTCAGGGGAGGTCCGGCTTGTTTTTCAGGGCTAAGGGAGTGGATCATAAGTGGACAAACATTCCAAAGGTAATCCGACCACGTCCATCACTCGAGCGAGTGGAACGACCACTTTCAGGAAATACAGGCCCAGGCTTGTTTTTAGCCTCAACTTTGGGGTGACCCTGAGACACAATGCGTTCGCCTCGGTCAACACACTGAGAGACAAATACGCTAAAAGGCACCACTTGCCATGTGTAAAACATGGGGAAGAAACACAAAAAAAGTCTGAACCAGACAATATTTTTTTGCATTTACACAAATACTGTGCTAACTTTTCTCTTCCATACACTTTTTATTCTATTCCTTTATTAAGTTATATTTTCAGTCAAGATATTGCATTTGGCTTTTTATCCCATTAAAGACTAAAGTGAGTCTTTGTATTAAGCCTATTACAGATCTTTAAAAATGTGGTCATCAGACTGATCCTGAGGGTGTGCATGCAAGACAGATAGCTGTGTCTTGCTCTAAAAAGGTCAGACAATCACCTACTAACATACTTAAATGGCTAAACTTCACACCACCAACAAAACATCACCATGGCAAATATATAACCTTGTAAAGCAAAATAACAACACCACTATAACCGATTTTCCATAGTGTGTCAGCTATCTGTAATATACAGTCATCAGTATTACATCAGTAATCTATGCCCTTTAGACCACAGCCATCAATGTGGGACAATATCGACTAATCAGGCTGAAAAACAAGTAGGTGTACAAAGTCTTCAACACACATTTAGGTAAAGAGTCATGCAGAGACATGTAAATAAACTAGAAGTATCACGGTTAATACCTCCCTGTTTGTCCAAAACATCATCACTTAATCATATTTTCCCATGGGATTCATCTCAAATAGGATATGAATTCTTTGGTTGTGATCAAAAACATGGTTTGGTGAGGTTACACCGACCTTTAACCACCATTTGACCAATTCTAATCAATTTATTATTGAGTCCAAATCCGAGAAAAATACCCTGCAGGCATTCCTGAGATTTCAGGCGAACAAGAATGGGCCGGGTAGTCAGACACATTATGGACAGATAGACGGACGTACCGTTGGCGGACAGACAGCCTGAAAACATAATGCCTCTGGCCAAGGATGTTGCTGGCGCAAAGACATGGAAATAAATATGGGTTTTTTTTGCCAGCTATAGGGTCAAATCGCTAGACAGGGCATTTTCTTTTGTGGCCAACATCAGTTGTTAACATCTAATGCAGAGTGACAACTCCAGCAGACAGATAAAAACCAGACCCACCCCCACCCCCCCACTCCCCCACACACCTGAACCCAGGAATCATCTTGGCAAAGCCAATGACCTTCTGGATGCTATAGGAGACCAGATCAGCCAGGTGGGGCAGCATAGAAAAGCTGGAGCCCTCTTCCTCGCTGGAATCAGGGCTACTGCCCTGCTCGTGGTACATCATCAGCAGGTTGTTGAAGTTCATTTTGGTGTCTACTGACTCTGTGGTGAACAAGAAAAAGCCAGCCAATCAAAGAGGAGATGACAGAAGAAACTGGAAAAGCATGACAGTCTCACTCCTTCTATGCTGAGATAAGCAACATAAATCACGGAATAGGGAGTTGCTGTTGTTGTTGTTGAGAGTTGTTGATGGAAAGGATCAGCCGGGGTGAGATGAAGAATAGGCAACAGCTAGGATAACATGTGAAGCGTGCAGCGCTGCTGGGGTTGTTTTGAGTCATTTGTCCCCGCTGAGTGTTGGCGTTAGGCCACGGGAACGTGTCCCTCACTTGGTTGACTCCATTAGAGACGGATGGATTAATGAACTGATGTGTACTAGTGGGGTAGAAAATGTTGCGGTTGAGAGTGAAGTTACAGTCAACCTGCTGGGCTTGCTGCCACCACGACCCCAGATAAGTGGCGGAAAATGGATGATGGATCAATGGAGTTTTACCTATTGAAGGTCACATTTTTATCTTACGGTTTATTTGCAGTGAGGTGTCACAAGCACCTTAGCATTCTTTGATTTATATTTCGATAATGGGCGAGTGTGCAGGACAAACTGGTTTAATTGTGAGCCCGGACAGTTCATCGCTTTCTCTCAAACTTGAGTGAAGTGTCTAGAGTGTGTGTCTCTTACCTGGAGAGTGACTGAAGGAGTCAGAGGAGGCATCAGACAGGGAGTGGAGAGAGGCAGCTCTACTGGCACTACGAGTCACTGGACCTTCACGGACAGGAGGCTAAGGGCGCATAAAAAGACGCCAAGGGATTCTCTTCAACGATTTGTCACTACATTTTGTAATGTTTCACAGTGATTCAGTAAAAACAAAAGGGCCCTTCTTTCTCAATTTTCATTTAAAAAAAAAATACAGAATATAAAAGATTTGTTGAATATCTGCTGAAAAATGTTTTATTGAATTACTCCAGTCCAGCTCTATGTGTATTTTGTGGAGATGGAAATCTGACACAGGATGGACAAGTTGGATTTCTAAGAGGACGGGGGTGATTCAACTAAAGGGGGGAATGGACCACTTGATGTCGGATATGTGTGTAAGCAATACAAAACATGACTTTCGTTGAAAGGCCGAAGCAGAACTATATTCTGCTGTGAGGAATCAACCTCATTTGTGCTGGTTAATGTGAGGTGCTTGGTAACATAAATACCCTTTAAACTATCAGTCTGTTACAGCTGGAACCATTTTTGAATATCTCAACCGTACAGCAGCAATATCAGATTCCTATTTCTATTCAGTCTCATAAAATGCGTTAAACTTAAACTTAAAATAATAAATAAATAAAAAACTTTTAAAGATGCAAATATATTAAGATCCAAACCCTGAAGCGGCAGAAGTCTGAGTAGGAGTCGTCATAGGTTTTGTGGTGGGCATCCACCAGCGTGGCAATGACCTGACTCTGGTCGTCACTCAGCCGTGGGCGCCGCGCCTCCTTGTCCGCTTCGCGCTGTGCTTCCTCATCCTTCCTCCGTTGAATTAGGTCCTTCTTCCTCTGCACTTCCTCATCCGTCAGAATGACTGAGGGCGCAAGTGTAAAGAGACAAAGCGAGGATGTTAGAAACACACACACACACACCAGAATAGATAATGAATTTAGGAATACAGGTGTATTTTTAATCATTTTATGTTTTAATCATTGTGTTAAAACAATACGTTGCTTTTGAAGATTTTCAGTTTTACAATGTCATGACAGCTATGTGAATGTGGTGTTGTTTGGCATTGGGGGGGGAGGGGGGGGGTTGTTATTCTCTGGAGGAAGAGAATGGGAGTGGACGCCTCCATAAGGAGACCCCTGCTGCAATGAACAAGTGAAAGCATTGACTTTGTTCTGCTCGCTCCATGTTGTTCAAAACACTGAATTAGCTCACAGACAGAAAGACAGAGAGCAACAGAGAGAGGGAGAGAGCTGGGTCCCAACAACATGCTGCTGTTTTTGCAACAGCAATGTGCCTGTGACACCAACCTCGTTGTATTCCCAGAAACACTCAAAAGAGAGGGAAAGAGCATCAACAAGGAAGCAACAGGCTTTTGCCGTAAAGAGGCCAGGGGACAATATCCGGATATATCAGGAGAAAACAAGAAAGAAAAACCTGCTATTTAAAGACAATGAAAATAAACAAGTGTGTGGAAAGAAGAGGCCTCAGAAGATTGTACATAACAGCAGGTGTTTAAACTTCAGATGGAGCACACTTACACTATACAATGTGGGGAGGCTCCACGAGTTCAACATGAACATGTCAACACTCCAATGGGGCCAAAGACCCAGAGATATTTGACCCGAGTCCAAATATTACATAATATACACAAGAGGGCCAGCAGGCCCCCAAAATGGCAAACCTCAGGTCGTGGAAACTTGACTCGTATAAAAAAGAAAAAAAGAAAATGTAGATTTACGTAATTTATTAAAAGCAGGATATATTTATGTATAATTCATCTACATCTGGGAGTGGTCTAGCACTAGTCCAGAACATAGTTTTGATCCAGTAATATAATAATTAAGTGCATTTAACCCAATAGCGGTTGACGTCCCAATTTAAATAATAAATAAAATCAAACCAGTAAATCAAATGGTGTTAACAGTATTGCAATGAGGACATATGGATCACCTGTCATACTTACACTCTTTCATCATGCCAATGTCCACACAGCGTTTGAGCCGGCACGCCTGGCAGTGACGCCTGTTGTCCTTGGTAATGGTGCAACTGCCGTTAAAGGGACACGTGAAGGCCGCCTTGCGCTTCATACTGCGCCTACATCAGTTGTATACATTTTAAACTCCATTAGAAAACAAGAGAATAGAATAAAAATCTTTATTTACTGAAGTGAATTTGTGTGCCTGAACATGTTGGTAACTATGTTGATATAATGAATATAGCACCGTGGGGCCTTCAACAGTACTGTGAACAATTATTTATCAGGGTAGAAGAGGATAAATATTTTTGCACTGCGTGACCCAGGGAAATAGTATAAATATGGATGAATGCCAAGCATTCCATGGTAAAGGAGCCTCGATAAACAGTGACGCAAAGCGTAGTGATTTAGACAATCACTTAGACTCAGATGTGGGCTAAGCATGCAGTCGGTGAGAGTTCAAACTGAGGGCCAGCTGAGAGAGGAGGAGTAAGATTATTAAACATCGGTCTTTTTCATCCCATCTCTCGAAAACAACAACACTGGCGAGAGGAGCAGATGTTTATGAACGTGCAGATGCATCGGACACGCACAGGCTCACACCATCAGCGCTTGCTCTAGCTTCGTCCGGATAGAATTGGACACTTTGTGTGTGTGTGTGTGTGTGTGTCTCAAGGAGGAGGCAGCATCCAACGCATTAGCTGTAGGACCGAGCTCATTTGGATTCTTGACCTGCTCCAGGGTATTAGCATGAACTCTGATGTGGTCTTCCTGTCTCATGCAACCGTGGGTGGCGATTAGATTTAATGTGTGAGTGCGAATCTGCGTGCGTCAATGAAGTCGATACGCAGCTCTTCTTTTTCATTTTGGTGAGATGAGCAATTGTGCTCAGAACTGTGACCTCACGTGTGTATTTGCGTACCTGAAAAAACCCTTGCAACCCTCACAGGTCATGGCGTTGAAGTGGAAGCCGGTTGCTTTATCACCACACACGCCGCAGATCCGCGGCATGTTCCTATCAAACTCATCGGGGGCCAGATTGGACGTACTCACAACTGTGGACTCCATCACTAATTAAGGAGAGGGTCAATGGAGAAAGACAAATAAGGGAGAGAAAGAAAAATTATTTAATTAGTTACAAAACAGTTACAAACTGTTAACTTTGTCAATAACTCAATAAAGAAAAAAAGATGAAATTTAAATTAGGATCTGTACAGAGGTGCACTTAACAAAATGATTTTAAAAAAAATACATTAAAAAAATGGATTTTGGATTAAGTGAAAATGGATCAACCATTGCTACAAAGTTGCTTTAAAAGAAATAAAAGAAATAAAAAGCAACGAAGTAACAAGGTGACGTATCCTTTCACCTTACTCCATGCCAACCTTAAAATTCCCTTCCGCCTCCACTTTGGAGCTGATCTGGAGCCACATCAATCGAGAAGGAAAGGCTTCAAAATGCTGGATCGGAGTTACATTTCATTACATAGTAATCCCAGTCTATATTTCACATGACAGCCTCGCGAGGGGGCGGACAGGCATGTCTCTGCAAGGCTAGCATCCTCATAAACAAACAAACAAACAAACATTGTCCTTTTCACAAAGCTCCTTTCTTATTCTCTTCTTTGAGTCCACTGCAAAGTGAAGCAAGGAGATTGAGGACCAATGGAGGGGAGCGCAGCTAAACCAATACAAATCTCAACAAACTCACAAATCAACAGCCAATGAGGTAAGGGCCCAGCTGAATAATTTAAAATGTTTTGACAGAGCACTCCAGCGTTCATGTCTAATTATAAACCACCGCTCCTGATTAAAGTCTCAAATAATACAGGAAACACAACAATGTTGTTTTTCTCGAGTAGAAATGTGAACATATGAGATGAACATTGTGCCGTCAAACCAAATCCTGCACATGACCAATTGTGTCAACTGGACGTGTAGTCCTAATGTTTCAAAAAGGTCAAAAGAAAGAAAGAAACTAGTTCTTTTAAATTCTTCTCTGCCGCAGGCATCATCGAAAGCAGTGACTCAAAGTATGTTGACGTCTTGAATCTCAGCATCAGATGGTTCAACCAGGAACATCTGATACAAAGACCGTCACGGTGCACTGTGACTCTGTAAATATGTTCACAACTGGAACGACCAGCAACTTACAGCAAATATTTGTGGAGGGAATTCAACTTCAATCAGGTTCTGTTGACCTCCGATAGACAGATCACACAGAAACTTGTATATTGACAGGAAATCCCTTGAAACGATTAGTCTCATCACTGAGCTCCTGAAACAGTGATCTCTGGTTAGCTGGTTTAGTGAAATCCTAGAACACAGCAGGGTTGAATCCGGATTGCCTGATGAATGTAATGAGTAGACAACCTTCAGGCGCACACATCTCGTTTCTTTATCCCGCCCACCACCTTACATTTCCCCACGCACGTGTCATGTGAAAAGGCGTACAAGCCTATGAAGGCTGCATCAACCATATTACCCTCATCTCAGTGTTTACCAAGATGTAGGCTTTTCAGGGTATTTTTACTAGAAATTAACACTTGACAGCCAGATGATGTACTATAAATGGTAACAGGTCAAATGCTCTCACTCCTGTGAACCTGTATTATGTGAGTAACTCTGTCGGACAACACTCCAAAGTGTTGAAGTTTGTATGAAAGAAAGCCCCAAAAACACTTTTTCTGCAATTGAGGTTTGAGAAAAGTTCCTCCAGCATCTCGTTAAACAACACTTTTTTGAAACCACACGATCAATATACACAGCCGAAAAAGCGTAGGATCTACCCGGTGATTTAAATACATTATTATTCAGCATGAAAATCGGATTCTACTGGATGTAGGCAAACTAATCCCAGCAGGCATTCTCACTCATTTACCTGACCACATCATCAACTGATCAGTGAAGCCAGTCCTCCTGTGATTGCATTCAGCCCACAGGACATTACACTTAATGCACAGTAGTATTCAGAGAGATGACTAAATAATGCATGCTGTTATTAGACCAGATATGTACTCATTCCTGCTTCTGGTGCGCAAATCCAAAGTACATGTTTAGGGCTGCTACTGAATGTCTCGCTCATTACTGATATACAAAATATGTGTAAGCCAGGTCGCTCCGCAGCATCAATCACAACTGTAATTGCATTTATAATGTGAGATATTACTCACATGTGTTACGGTGGCATAAAGCGGAAGGATAAAAGAGGAACATTGGCATTTCTGGTTAGCTTCTAGTCCTGCTCAATGACACGCACAAAGGATTGACATATTTATCATTTTATAAATTGGAACAAGACTATTTCAAATTAGAAATTTGAGAATTTTTCTAATTTATTTTAAATAGTGCATTGTAGGAGTGACATTATTACGTGTTGCTTCCGACGTTGAGTTGAGCAAGTTGGAGTTCCGATCTTGGAAAAAACTGTTGAACTCAAAACTTGCATAAGGATTTAAATTGCTTTTATGAAGGTTTTACTATTTCGTGGTGGTCAGATTTACCCTTTTCACATTTTGTCCTTCAAACATTTCCACATTGTAAGCGTTTGTTAGGATGTGCCTTTTGTCCAATACATTCCAATTGAGCAAACTTCTAAAATGAATATATAATCAAATCATAACAGAAGTTATCTCGGGGCACTTAACAATATAATACAGTGGCAGTGTAGACAGTATTATATATATATATATATATATATATATATATATATATTTTGGTATTAACAGCTGGGTCTCAAATCCAACTATGAATAAGCATTTGGCGACAATGGCAAGGAAAAAAAAACGTCCTTTTAACAGGCAGAAAACCGGAGCAGAACTATGCTGTGGGTGGGCGGCCAGCTGCCCGTATGGGAGCATAAAAAATCCGAAATGCTGGAAATAAAATATAATTGCATTCTAAAAAAAAGGTCCCACATAATGAATATAAAGATCTTTGTTTGGCAAAGACTTAACATGGAAAGAATTGACCCCATTCATAATACACCCACTGAAACTAGGGAAGAAGTAGGCATTAGAATGGAACTGTTTATGTAGATCGTTACTTTAGCGATGACATTTAATAAATTGGTTTGATCATTATTTTCTGTTTCTACTAAAATCTCCTGCTCCCAAGCTGGCACTCAGTAATGGTACAGAAGTTGTCATGGCACAGTTCATAATACTAAACATCACTGAATGGTCAAACGCAAGCTCCCAGACTGCAATGACGTATTCAGCGTTCATTCATACCGTCAACAACGGCTGGTTTTATTACTTAAAATATTAGGACTTGGGATGTGAACACCTTTTTAACGTCATTCATGTTTAAACAATAGCCAACTTCCATCTAACTGGTAATTATTTCAATGCGATTATGCACCAAAGACTCCCTTTAGTACATAATCTCATACGTTTATGTTCCAACATCTTAATCCACAATCCCAGGGCTGCACAATTGTTGCTGGCAAAGACATAACTGACGAGTGCGTTGTTGTCTTGCCGTCAAAAAATCAAAACAGCCATTTCTTTTCTATGGTGAGTTTCTTTTGAAAATAGAATCCTGACTTTAGTCCACATGTGTTTTAATTCCAGTTGTGTTATGATATGCATCATGACTGCAATCTTGAGACAATCTATTTAACTTGAACAGGGACTAATACATGAGCAGTTACCATTGAAGCTTAAAAAAGGACAAGAAAGATACAAAATGGAGAATGATGGTAAATGACTGAGTGAGTGAATGCTTCCATGTGAAGCGGAGAACGACTGAGAGGAATTAAGAAAGCTCATCTCAGCCACCTGACCAGAATGAGAAGGAATAAGCCTACACCAGCAAGGACACAAATCTCTTTACCATAAAATGATGGTCTCAACATTATTATATATTTTTTTTTTAAAAGGTACGTTCAATCTTAGTGTGAAAGACATTTAATGAATGTCTCTCCCTCAGAGCAATGGGAACAGTGAACACAATTTAGCTTTGTGATGCTGGTAAATTATAGTAACCTTGAATATTTTTCAAACTAAATATCTGGTATAAAGCAACAGATATTCCTAATGTGTCTAATGTGTTTTTCAGTATGTCACATGGTACTAAGCATGTTTTCACTCTCCTGTGCATCCATAACACTTGGCTGCACATATAGTTGATCTATTGCCCTCTCCATGACCGTCAGACAGAGAGAGGAAGTGCCAGCCCACCCCAGTTTAGGAGGAAAGGGAGAGGCCGGGGGGGGGGGGGCTATAGGATGCTGAAGAGATTGAGTAAAAGACATATATAGATATAAACATTGATACAGTGAGTAGAGGAGGGGTAACCTCTCTCATTGTGTCTTTGTACATCAAGAGGCATGCCCTGGCTGGCTGGGTCAGACGCAAGAGAGAAATAGTACGAGGAGCGAGCACTTGGAAGTGGCCCAGAGAGAAGAAATCAACACAAACAAGCCTTTTTTGTCTAAAACGATGTCTAAAAATACACAGTCATTCGCCACTTACTAGCTAAATATAATCAAAAGGTCTGATCGCTGACAGATTATCATTTTGAGAATTATTAGAGGGGAAAGATATTCACGTAGGAATCACATTTTTAGCACGATTTGTTGGATTTTCAAGTCCCCTTTTTCAAATAAATGAAGCTAATTTTGTGTAATGTGTATGTGTGGATACTTATCTGTGGGACGATGAAAAACATTTGGCATGGTAACTAAATTGTATGGAAAAGAATATTAATATATGTAATCCTAATGCCAGTATATTTGAGGCTTAGATTTCAAGATTCATAGATCAGACAACCATCATACGGTTTACCCAGTGAATAATAACAATGACCAGGACAGTTTTCCTGAGACATTGGATTAATCCACTGATTATTTCCTTGGTTGAACCTTAAAATGGCAGAATGCAGAAAAATGTATTTCATAAAGCCCAAATATCTTGCTTTGTTCAACAGTGCAAAACCCAAATATAACAGATTACACCAAATAGTAGCCAGTTCATATTTACACTTCAGTTCTAATAAAAGTATTGAAAATATGACAACTCTTAACAGTAATATGTTAAGAAGAATTGTCCAAGTAGTGTAAAATATGCACTTTTTGCTCTGAAACCGAAAACTTCTTACAAAAGTGGTAATTGATGGAATCGATCAAATGAATAAAAATAAGAATAGGATGTGTACTGAAAGTCCGGGGTTTGAGAGTCAAAAGACAAAGCGGCAGTGATTGATGAGCTATGGCCTGCTGTAATTATGTAGCGCACCACGAACTGACTGAAGCTTGACGTTGGTGAAAGTTCCAAAATAAAAGACACACTACCTTTTTGATAAATTATTTGGAGAGATTGACAGTCCTGTGCTCTTGGTAGGCTGTAAGTAAATTAAAATCAACATATCATAACAGAATACCTCTAATAACCTGAGCAATGAGTACAATTATTAAATATTTATTATTCAACATCTGGCTAATTGTTAACTCTGGTGGAGTCGAAGAAATAACACTTATTTATCAGGTATCTGCATGCCAGTGTCCCACGTGTGCAAATGGCAGTTTCTAATTAGTTGACATGTTTCACTCACTGGGAAATTAAGTCTTGACTACTCACGGTGTGAGGGACAGAACGGAGAAAAGTGTTAAGTGCCGAGATGAGAAATTGTAACATTTCATGCCAATGATGTTGCACAATGAGCTTAGTCTTTAGAACATGAAAATTCATAAATCGGTATTATTGCTGCACAATTAGCTGAGGTGTGATATTAAGAGAGGAATAAGTGCCAATGTGGTACAAGGGCAGGAGCCTAATACAACTCATAAAGTAGCTCACTGTTCTACTGCCTTTTTGTTTCAACTTGTACCATTGTCATGTATGTGATTGCCAAATGAGAGAGCGGCCATTGATTCTTTTTCCGGTGCCTTGCTACTTAGATTAAAAAAATAAATAAATAAATAAATTTAAAAGACTGAAGTGAGACCTCAGCTGTAAAAAAAAAATAAGATTTGGACCACCTCCCAGATGTCAGATTAACTTTAATTTAAGTCAAGATTAAGTGATTATAATACGCCCTCAACCAACGCCCACCATCTAACAAAACTGATGAGCGAGTACCATTAGTGCCTGAAATGAAATGGGATTGAGGACATGGAAAGATACAACAAAGTGGGTAAAGAGACATTTCAAAGAGGGATCATCTTAACTTCATGCAAACGTGCAGAAAATAAACGGGAAAGCGGGAAAGCGAAAGAAAAGAAAAGAAGAAAAAAAAAAACTCTGGCATCACGTCCCAAGAATTTCAGCAATGAGTTTACAGACCACATCCCAACACATAAGAGTCCGAATCACATCCAGACCTATAACAGCCCGGGAGGGAAGAGATGGCTTGCTGTGGAGCGCCTGACGGGAGAAGGAGGCCCTATTTGACAATCCAATGAGCCTCGTCGGTCTACATCACATGACGTAATCCCACAAATGGTTCTGAAATTGTTCCATGCTGCCAAAAATCCCTCTTAAAAGGGAGGGGCGGAAGGAGAGAGAGGGAGAAAGAAAGTGGTGGAGAGGGTTGGAGGGAGAAAACATAAGGCGATGTGTTTCACTGCATACCTCTGACTGGGTCACTACAAGTACAGAAGAGAAATGAAACAAATGAAATCTAGGATGACCCGGGCTGCAAAGTGAGCTTGGCTACAATGGAAAAACATGTACATGTGATTCCCAAATAAAAGTACATCTAAACCTGCAATGATGGCAGTGGTGGGAAATGAAAAGGAGGAGGACAGTCGGGGCTGAAAAAAAATAGGTACCACTCAAAATGAAATGTGATCATGATGTTACAGAAGTTTGATTCAAATATGCTTGGTGGTTAAAATTGCCTGAGAAAAAAAACAATACAAGAGGAGAACAGATAGGGGGGAGGGAGAACAATGCACAAAAAGAGAATGTGGACCCAACAACAAAGAAGACAAACTGAGTCTGTAATGCAGCTAAACAACTGGCTAAGCAGACTAGTCCAGTCCTGTCCCCTCCCTCCAGATATCCCTCCCTCCGCCTCATACTCTTTTCCTACAATCACAGGGAGTATGTTACACCAGCCGTAATAGCACATGACAAGGTGACCTGTGCCCCAACACGGGATGGGCTAAACTGTGGTGGATGGGGTGGTCGAGGGTGGGATGGGGGTCACATGTCCAACCCTATGGTCTCCCCACCACTCCCCCCTGTCCAGGCCTCAGTGCTGGCCTGCAAGGCGAGAGAGAGGCAGTGACGGCAGCCTGCCCCCTTATGCTGGGCCCCTTGCTGGACTCTGGAGGGGAAAGAGACGAGGCAGGGAGAGGCCCACTCAAACACACACCGAAAGTCTGTTTATGTGTATGCTGAATTTGACAGAGAACACACTCGAGCACACAGAGAGCCAACTGGACAAAACCGGACAGGCGGCAGACATGTGGGTGAGCTGGGTGCAAATGCAATTCAACCCACAAGTCAAAGTTATGTAACCTCCATAAAATGTCTATTACTTTTGAAAGGTAAACGTAAACATTACTAAAAGATCTGGGCACATACATATGTGCCAGATGTTTTTTCTGCATGACCGGTTCTTCATATACAACAAATATTACTTGACGAAGAAACCATTAACCAAGACATTAAGGGGAACTGAACACTTAATTTGTTTCAAAAGGCAACAGAACACATGTGGCAACCAGCACACATGTACAGGTACATGTGGCTGTGCACAGTTAAGTAAAGCAGCCTCTTTATTTCTATAGGCCTACATGTGAGAGGAAGCAACCAATTACAGTAGTCACGAAAGTGTGTTTTAACTGTACAGGGGCTATAATGGACTGTACCATCACAACAGCACACCATTCCATGGGCATCCTGATACCAGGATGTCAACAAAGACATCAACTGAGCCAATCTCGTATGTTCTCCCAACACAACACAGGAGTTCTACTGACAAATTAGTTGAAAATTGGTTGAAAGGCTTAAGCATACATGGTGCCCATTTGGGTTGGGTCTCCCAGTTCTGTCCCAAATAATACATCATGTTCTCTTGTGGATTTCAACAAATCCAGAACATGGATTTGAACGTTGAGCCCATGTGTGCAGAGTTGTTGAAAAAGAAACAATGAAGCAGCGACATAAAAACAACATCATACCTTCTACTTTTCAAGTGTCAAACTGTTCCATAAACAGAAATGGATACGAGGGAGAATTAGCACAAAGGTCACTGGGAAAATAGTATGAAATAAATTCCACTTGCTGTTAGCTGTATTCTGCGTCCTTTTGATTTATATTGAAGTGATGAGGAGAAAAGGGAGAAGAGCAGGGGGTTGTTTTATCATGTGTTCATCTAGAGTTACTAATACATTGTGTTATTAAAACAAGTAAATGCCCCATCAATGCTTTGTATGGGGTGAATTGTCACTCAGTTGTTATAAGAAATAAGGTTCAAATTAAAACATTTAAAAAAAATTCTAATGGCAGATTCATTTGGGTATTTGATTAAACAGTCCCTTTAAGTTGTAAAGAATAACTGGTTTCATAACAATGGCCTTTGGTCTCAGGATGGTCAAAGATATTTGCTAAACAAAGTTTTCAAAGTACTGACATGATAAATGGATTCTTCAAAATAACGAAATTGCAGTCTAATTAATGTCAATATTGAAGAATTATTCCATTGCTTACTACCTTGTTCTTAACATATCACTTGTGTTTATGATGAATAAATATGATTCACGGCATCGTGGTGGGTTACATCACGAGACTGCAATAATCCTAGAGACTGTGCAAAGATCATTGCAAAAATATACAACTCCAAGGCAGCGTGACATTGTCACCGATAATCTGACAGACAACAAGCTAGCAATACGCACATGAGAAAAGCAAAACGTAAAAATGTCTCACCTGCGGTTTTAGCACGCCCTGTATACCAGGTAAGACTTGAAACCTCCCTTCGGTTTATCCCAAGTTGTTAATCCTGTTAAATAGAAAAACAAAATGGCATGTCGCAAGTCACTGAGTGGGCCTGCACCCTCGTACCTGACCAGCGGTTGCTCTGTTTCTGAAACACTGGTTGGCTTTCAACAGCAACACACACTCGTCATCGTAACCATCCTCTTTTTAGCAGTTATACAAGTATGTAGCCAACCACATTTACGACGACACACTTCAAAACTGCGCGGAACCTGCTTCTCATGTGGTCTTGAGCAATACATATGACAATAAGTGTCGACTTTAGCATTCCTTCTGTGCATGAGAGTTTCATACCTCAGCTCAACTTTCCCCCCATCAAGACAGAGTCGCTTTTAATCCTCTCTGGTCGCCGTTTGGGTCGGGGTGGTCATGCTCTTGTGAAGTGTGTCCCCTCCACGCAGACAGCGTGGGTTAGCTTTGAGGGGAGAGAGGACTCGCGTTGCACCAAATTAACAAAATAAGATGTGAAGAGACTTGGGGAGAAAACGTCCAAGTCGCACGCCCTTCCCAGACGTTGGCTCTCCCAGCAGCGCTGGTAGTAGCTAACGTTAGCGCGGCTAGCTGGCTGCTTTAACCCCGAAAAGCTTATTAAGCGTTTAGCGACCGTTTCCAACGGCCATCCAGTGGAAAAATGGTTGAGGCTCAACTCGATTTCACCAACAGAAAAAAGGAAAACGTACGCACTTACATGAAGAGAAGTCAATCGCCCTTACGGTAGTCCGACCAGAAATATCCCTCCTTCTTCAGGACTCAAATAGATGGCCATTACTTTTTGTTATGCACCGCCCCCTCCTCGGGACCTCTACGGGAAAAGGGGGATTTCCCCCCAGCCCCTCTGGTAACCAATCAGACGTGAGCTCGGAGTAACCCGCGTATAATGGTTGGTGAGATTTTGGCGGAGCCCGGCTTTGAGTGGTCAGCCCCAGTGTCTGTCAAAAGGGGAGCCGCCCCTTAAACAGGGGTGTGTCACGACGTCAGAGGTAACGGAGAGGTAAACAACTTTGACCGCGTGAGGTTTAAAGCAACATCGTTTTCCTCTAATCTCTGAATCAATGGACACCCGGTGTGGGGGATTACTGCGCCAACATTACATGCGGCGTGGCGTCTCAGTTGGTGGAAAATGCTCCTTTTCATGTCGTATGTGTCGCTCTTTGTTTTGCTGCTACGGGCTTTGAACCCTATCTTTTATTGGGATATAAATCATAACAGCATCACCATCGATATCACGCAGTTGAAATAATAAAACGAGCACTGCCGTGTATCAAGTCGCCCATTTTGTGCATTTTGCTGCATTATTTCTTTGACATGTTGCAAATGCGTGCAGTGAAGCGTGTGTATTGGAGGGGTGTGTCTAGTCTGCAGCACGGTGGTAGGCTGGAAAGCAATGTCGATGCGTGGCGATCTTCACATTGATTTGCTTTGCAAAGCATGAGAGTATGCTATACATAGACACTTGAAAGATCACACTGTGCAAACATTGCGGATATTTGTATTCAGCCAGACGAAATCTACTACTATCTTACTATCTAATTTTGTCGTTTGTTCATTCACGTTTGTGGACTCATAGGAGCTCTGGTATGTTGTGTTATGTTGTGTGCGTGCTGCGTGTGGTGGGGCCAGCAGAGGGGGCCTGGTTGAAGGTCAGGGGTGTGTCTACAATGTAAACACAGTAGAGGAGACAAATAAGAAGGGGAGAGAGGAAAGAGAGACGAGGGCCCCTTCCGGTTCCATACATCCTCAAACGAATCGTCCTTTACTGCTGCGGCAGCCTAATAACAAGGGATTTACTTTGGGACTGTGCAGAGGGAATGCATATCATGGCTTTGCAAATTATCAAAAGCATCTTACAATGCAGAATATTTCTGATTTGAACTGTAGTCTTTTATGCTTTATTTATTTTGGTTAAATGCATTTTGGTCTTTAAATTTGAAAATGATGAAACACTGGAAGCAGCAGTGCAATAGGAAAATGTTAGTACTAGATTAAGACAAAAGATGGCAACTGAAAAACTACAGGTTATTGCACCTTCCTTTCTTAAAATCTACAACATGTACAAATACCAAGTCAACTCTTTTCTATTTGACAAATCTGTATCCTCCGCAATGATTTAACAACACTCTGCACCATGTTATAGCAACATTTTTTACACTGCCTTCTAAATTCGCGGTTAGCTGCCTTGCCTCCAAAGGGAAAAACAGTTTCGCTTTAAACCCCTTCAATATTGTAGTCCCCTGCACATAGAGTTATACATGTTGAAACTGCTCTGCCAAACATGTGTCAGCTGTCCCTGTGAGGCAGGGACTTAAAATCCAGTAATTAGAATAGAATACAAATTTATATAAAATAGGAATTAAATGTTACCAACAACGCCACCTAGTTGAGTAGGTCTCCACAAAAACAGGCTCTTTTATACTGGGGGGAAAAACAGCATGGATCACAAGACATAAAAGCGAGGTTAAAAGATGCTTTTATTATTAACAAAAAAAACATAAAATAAGTGCAATTATATTAAGAGTCGAGCTGGAAAAAAGTACTAAAAGAAATTAAAAAGAGTTCAAACTTCAGGTAAAAAGCCAGCCACCGGAAGGTTTTGTTAAGGTCCGGCTGGTTTAGCCACTCATCCGTCCTGGGCCCTTCAAACTCTCGTGGACACCACTTGTAAGTCCTACGTCCTTTCTCCTAGTGTTCTGCTCTGTCCTGCTCCTTTCCGTTCCCTGCCTGTGTGCGGTGTCCTGTTCCTCCCTTTGGCTTGCTCGCACCCTGCCCTGCTCGTCCTCTACGTTTTCCTTTCTCTCGTTTTTTCTTCGTCCTGCTGTCTTTCATGACCTTTAGTTGTGGCTGTGATAATTGGGAAGGGAAGGTCCTGTCCTCCTGCGACGCTGCTGCTTTACTGCCAGCGCGCCCTGTAATCAATTAGGTCCCTCCAGGTACATGCGATTATAGACTGCAAATGCGGATTAACATGGTAAAATATAAAAATATGTTAAGATGTAATGCATCAAACCATGCTAAAATGTAATAAAACAAATCATGCTAAAATCAATGAAACAACCCATTCTAAAATCATTAACACTATAGGTTGCAGCAATAACTCAATGTCCTCCTGGTGCAACATGCAAAGTTCAATGTCAACAAGAAACTTGGTTAGGTACAGTCTTGCATTCTGTTTTAACCTTAGAATCAGCATATCCTCAGTTATTATGCACCTTAGACATGTGAGATGAACGTGACTGTTTATTCCTGTACAGTGACTGGTCATAACGTGTGTGGGTGTGAGGGGGTGCATGCTCATGGAGAGTTGATCCTTGTCCTGCGGTTTGGGTGGTTTCCAAGACTGGCCGCTGCACAGGATCAAGCAGTTCTGCTAACAGGGATTTATTTGGCTCCACAGCACCCATGTCAGACACGTATCCTCGCCCAGCCATTTTGTGTCCTCAGATGCTCTGGCCCGTCACAGTAGGCTGGCTTGCTGTTTGGAATCCAGGGAAGTAGAATTCAAAAATCAGAAACACTTGACCCACTAAAACTAAAGGAATTAGTATTTGTGGCTCTAGAAAATAAATAAATCGAACAGTTCTATATAGTGTTAAGGGATAGTTCCAGACCCAATAAGATGAATTAGCACATTGACGACTAAGACAATTATTTATGGAAGTCTCAGACTATTCTGAGTGAAATTGCACATTGCTGCGGGGGAAGTATTTATAAATCTAAATAGTGGGGTAAAAGGGTGATATTCAAGGAATGGAAGCAGTAAGATAATAAAACATGCCAACGATAACGGCATATCTCTTAGTGCAATGTAAAATGCATTCACGTAGAGCCCATGAAACCGAGGATATCCTGCCTGAGGGACTTCAACCCTGATATCTGTCATCATGGGAGGCCTCGGGGCTGCTGGTCAAACCCACATAGGCTCACATCCTTTGGGCGATCTGTATGCACCGAGCAAATACAGTACATCCACTTTCATCACCTTTACGACACACAGCTCTGTCCCATTTGGACATGAAGAGCATGGATATTTGAGAATGCACCGCCTTCAATACGTTTCTCTTCAGCCTTAGGGACTATGTCTGAGGGCCACCATAAGCAACTGAATCCTGTTGCTGGAAGGCAGATGAAGATCGGCACTTTCTCCATCCATTATCAGTACTGCGGACTCTTAAGACTGCGTGCTAAGCTCATTCTCTGAGGCCACACTGAACTGCGAGGCACATCACAGCCACGCTATCACCATTTTGTGACACCACAACCATCAGCATTGTTGAGATTTTAGGAAAGGAGAATACATTTTCTGGCTTTTATCGATGTATAATTTCCAAATTATTTGTTAAATTTAGACCTATGTGCAAAGTATGCAATAAGGTAATAATATTTTATTTCTTCTGAAATCTCCTATGGAGGGATTAGAGTACCATAAAGAGTAACAAACCAAAGGAGTTAATTGTGGCCTTCAGGAAGCAGCAAAGACATGGTGGAAAACCCCTTCATTCTCATCAATATGCCTTAAGTCGGCAGTTTCGCGTTCCTCTCGATCAGCAGCAATAATGTGTGATGTTGACATCTAAATTCCGCTTTACTCCATATAGATCTTCACTACCTATAGACCTGCTACCTTATCTGTGGCTGCATTGCCGTGTGTTGTTTCACCACCCTGGACTGCAAAGCTTACCAGCAAAGCTTACCAGCAGTTAATGTAAGCAACATAGTTTCTTTAATACACATTTGTGCAGTGTTTGGCTCTCCTGTCCTGTTCTGTTGTATAAAATTGTATTCAACTTATTTATATCTGTATTTTTCTTTTTACTGTATTGCCGAAGCAGGTTCATATATGTAATATTGAATTGGATTTGTTAAATTGTATCTGCAACAGTTAAACGTAGTGAGTTTATTACCATCTGAAATTTAGTGTAGACGAACCATAAAACACAGAAATCCTTTAAAAAACTACCTGAAAACTCTTCTTAAATAAACTATTGCACTGTAGACTCCTTAATTTTCACTTCTAGTGCAAGTCTCATATACAATAATCAGTAACGTTATACAGTGTATCATAACATGCTTTTCTTCTTGCGGCATTAATAATAAACCAATATGATGTTATTTGTCGTGTTAATCATATTGTTAATGAAAATAAGACGGTATGAGAGTAGCCCTACTTTTTAAACAATGACAAAAGTGAACAACACCCAGTGATTTTAATGTATGACTATTAGTAATATTGAGCATTGTTGGAATTTATTTTTAATTCTTCAAATATTGACCTCAGGGAACAATGGTTATTTTTCTTTTTAATAAGTTCTCAAAGGCAAGTCAAGAGAGGGTGTAAGCTGTTCCCATCTTAGCACAACAGCAACAGGACTTATTGAAAACAGATATTGCAGTTGCTAAATGATCTACTTCTTAAATATAGTATTGATAGATTCTATTGATAGATTTCATTCAGAAACAAGAACATCTGACATCTGACTATTTAAGTCCAGAGGCTCGCGGGAGCTGCAAAGTGGAGTTTTTACTACACAAGGGGATTGTGCCTACGTGATCAATTAAAGTCCCTCTAGTTTCTTCTTTTGGGAGAATGAGGGACAACATGGTCACTCATTACACCAGAGAGTTAAATCATGGTGTCCGCCCATGAAATATACTTCTATGTAACTGGTTCAGCTAATTATAAGCATTCACACCAAAATATAGCCTTTATTTGTCCTCTGATTACTTGAATGACCCAAAAGCTAAAAGGTGATGTTAGACTACATGAAGACTCAGTCAATGCGATCAAAAGCTTAGGGTACAGTTTGCGAATCTGCAAAATACATGGGTTTGAAAATAATTTCTTATCCGGTGAATAACCATGGTGCTTTGGCACATCTATTAATATTCACAATTGTGTTGTGTAATTGTGCACTGCAAACGAACCATTCACATGCAACGGTTACTTAAAAGCATCTAGTTGCGTAGATTTCTTCTTCCAGTCAGGTGTGGGCTTTACTCATTTAATGAAATGTTTTTGATAAAAATGCCTTTAGATTTTCTTTAGTAATACTGATGCAATCAGTTTGTTACAGTTCAATGGTGCTTTCAAGAAAATAGCCTGTTACAGAACTTTGGTAAAGATTTAGATGCACAATACGATCGTATCTAAACACACAACAATACAACTATCCTCCAAATAGTTTAGCCGTCAAACAATCTAACTTTATCCTTTTATTTTGAAAACAGAGCTCTTATTTTGTCAAGGATAAATCGGTTAAGCGCGAGCCAGCTAGCCGCTTGCAAACATTATTGAAAGTAATTGAACGTGGCTCTCAAATCGTTAGTTCCTCCAGGGCACGGTTAGACCAGGCGTGGTGGACTGTTCTTTACCTGGAGACGGATGCGTTTAGAAAAAGCTACCGCTGGGGTTGTCGCTCACAACGCACGACCAGTTTAGCTAACGTTAGCTTGGCATAATGACCTAACGTTACAGCTAACGTTACAGCTAACGTTAGGTTACGTTTCGTTAGCTAATTGGAATTTCAGGTATGCACGGTGTAGCTGGCACTCTAGTTTTGAGTTTTATACGTTTAACCTTACATAGAACGTACTGGTTAAGTACCCGTTGTACCCTTAAATACGGTACTGTGGCGTCATATGACATCCTCGGTCCCATGGTGTAATGGTTAGCACTCTGGACTTTGAATCCAGCGATCCGAGTTCAAATCTCGGTGGGACCTCATCCTTTTAGAAAATCGGAAGATGGTCCTAACGCTAATATCAGAAAAGAATAGGCAACCTTTGATCTTAGATATAATTCATTAACTTCAAATTTAGCAGCTAACGTAACGCAAAACCGTAAAAAAGAATTAAGTAAGTAATTAACTAATTTAGCATGCAATTAACTACAATATATGACATTTTCTTTGACTCCTTCAAATGGTGAAACATACATTTGTATTTGATTTTATTTGATTGTATTACTTGCATTTCATGTGGAATATCCTACCAACCATTCTCAGAGGCATACAATATATATATATATATACTTTTCTGTGATTGGGCTAAAGTAATCGAAATAATGTATTAGCTCCATAGAAAACAAAAAAGTATCAACAAAAACATGTATTTTTAAAAAAAGATTAAAACATTCAAAATATTTTCACACAATAGTGAAGTCTTTGGCTTAAAATATAACTTCATGCCATAGATATTAATTGGTTAAATATGGACCTAAACAGATCATAAACATACATGTGATATGGAGATTTGTAGCTTTAGTTCTAATAATTTAGATCATGTCCACAATTTCTAAATCGCATGTAGTAGTTGGTTGCTCCAAAATAATTTGTTAAATTATCAATCCGTTTGTTTTGTATATTGTAGGTATCTTTAGCATAATATGCTACTATATCTGTGGTTATACAGTTTTAATAGTGTAGTTGTGTGGTGAACAAAATGTTAATTATGTTGTTGAATAAAACGTATATGAACCACAGAGTTTAAAATGTACCCAAAGGTACTTTTCAGATAACAAAAATACATACATGTCTCTTAACATTTCATTTCTTGGATAATTGGATCAACTTAATCAACAGCAAAAAAACACTCCAAACCACAACTTATTTAAATCTTATTTGGCAAATGATATAAAGTCAATCTTTGACTTATTAAACTATTTTTCTTGAACTCCTCTGTAAACTGACTCTCCACAGAGCCATGATCGGTGTTATGAAAACAGCCAAGTGCAATGCTGCCATCTGCATCAATGTAAGAACCAACGTAGTCACACACACCTCATCAAAAAAATCATGTTTACATTTCGCTTAGATCCTCAATTGTCCAGATTTGCACGTTCCTCTGCACTCTCATCTGCGTAGCTGTGGACCCAGCATGACTTTGTTGATAAAGTTGACGATGGCAACGGCTGGCTGCTCCGGGTCCATTTCTGCAAACAGGTGACACACGTTCTCTGTAGAGCTCCCAGTCCGCCTCGCCACAAAGCCAAACATCCTGCAGCGGAAAGGAGACGCAAGAAGTCAAAAGACAGGAGAGCTAATTACATTTTAGAGAAAAACTATTTAGTCCCAGGAGGTCTGAGTCACACGTCTGGTTGTGGTTAACTGCCATGCAGAGTAGCACACCGTACCAGTCGCCCATATCACTCGCAATGAAGAAAAAACACACACACTGAAGCAAGCACTTACTTGCTTGACGTGCTATCAGAATTAGTCCACCTGAAGCACAGGCACACAGATAGAGACAGAGACAAAACATTTTAACAATATGAAATCAAAGACGTGGAGAGTGATGTAGTGTTCTACATCCACCTCGAAAAAAGCAGACGAAAGCAGAACTTGCATCTTTAACAAGCCAATACAGGTAGTGCTTGTGCAGCAGAAGGCGCTACTGCCTTCACCAAAGATGATCAGCAGTAACATGTCCAAGCATGGGTCTACAATCATTATTAAATCGTATTGTCAATGTCCCAGTGACCCACCTTTGGTCTTGTGGGTTGAGACTGCTGAATGTCACACTGTTGATTGGATAATGTCTCCTAAAAAATAGCCTGTGGATAGAATATTTCTCTCGGTTAGTCTTATTTGTCTTTGGCATTTGCTCGAAGTATTTTTTCTGGAAGTTTTCTAGCTACCTGTGGTATACATACTGTGTCAAACCACTGAAATTAAAACGCCATCATGCTGTTAGGTAAGATATACCTTCTTTTGCTGTCGGTTAGAGTGATGCCCTGAGAGGACACTTTGAAGTGGACCACCGTGGCCGCTGGACGTGGAATCAGGGCCAATGTACACTTGGTTGCCTTTAAGATCGCCTCAGGTCCTGTTAACGACTCGGTTTCCAGGGAGTTTAGGTAGAGCACATTGCATGCTAAGAGAGATGAGAACATATGGATCAACATAAACTGGGATATGCTTATGACGTGGTGCGATGACAAGATGAGGCTTGAGTGGTCTCTGCTGGTCAAAATTAAGAACTGCATTTATTCTGATGGCTCCTTTGTGGAAGTTAATTTAGCGGGAAAATCACCAATAACAAAAAAAGCCCATGCAGTACCTGCTCCTTGTTTGAGGAGGTCAGCCGCCGTGCTGGTGTTTGTTGCACTCTGCATCTCCTGAAGCTCCCCAACGAGATCTGAAATATATTCTTCAGTTACATAACAACACTATAAATTAATGAGAATGCAGTCTGTAGATGTTGTAGGGGCCTCCCATTCGTTGAAGTGGTATAGGTATTCTACCTTTTTCTGGGACGCGAAGGGCGCATGGCAGAGATATGGGAGTAATTGAATGCTGATACACCAGGGCAGATAAACTTCCTGAAACAGACAGAAAGACAAAATAGGTCAAACGGATCATGACTCTGACAAAACAAAATCTCTTCCTATAAGCTAACAGGTTGAAACAATCATGTTCAGTTCGTCATCCATGACTTTGTGGAAATGTGTTGCGACAGTTGTGTCTTCCACATAACTGACCAAAGTAGGACTCATTCTGACAGCCCTTGATCTTCACTCCCCGTGGCCCAGTCTCGATGAGGAAGTGTCTTACCAGCTGCTCCAGAGGGTCCCCTGAGAGGAGAGTGAGGACTGTAAATGAGGCAGACTCTGAACTCAGCATGTACAATAAACCAACAAATAAAAGGTATGATTGTGATGTCTATAGTATTATCAAACCATAATATATATATATATATATATATATATATATATATATATATATTAGGGCTGTCAACAGTAATGCATTAATCTATGAGATTAATGAGGCCTAGATTAATGCAACAAAATATTTTAACGTAGTTGACGTTCGTTTGTTTACTTCCAGTTCACTTCCCGTCCCGGAAGTTGGCCGCGTAAACGAGACGGCCGAGCTGCAGTCAGTTACATCAAGATGAAGAGAGCTTTTTGCATTGGAAGTAAAACAAACAGTGGTGCGACATACAGCAGAAAACTGTGCAGAGGAATTACTCCATGTGTCTTAAAGCACTGCTATGCTTAGCTAGCTGCTATGCTACTTCCATCTAACGTTACCCTGCGTGGCACACAGTCTGCAGAGGATCACCACTGTGTCCCTAAAAGACCGTGGTTTGAAAACGTCCTGGCTAAATGTGGGGAGATTGTTGGCACTTCAAACACAGCCGTTAAATGATAGAGAGTTGAGAGCAAAGTGCACAAGGACAGCAGGGCCCTGTTCGTAGGTGGTTCAACTAAGTCGATCATCCAGCTCAAATTACCGAGATGATTGACATCAGGCTATCTCGGTTTCTCGAAGGCGGATCGGCACTCAAACAGTCTTGTTAGTTTGAACCAGATGTCAGTCATCAGGATAATCACGCGTGCAGCAGCAAGTTTCATGGATGCGTCATCATCTTTCAGAATATGTACATAAAAACAAGCCCAAAGAATCTAATTCTTCAAATGTGTTTTGTGTTTAAAATTACATTAACAATTAAACAACAGTGTCTAAAGTACACACTTTCGTGATTACTCATTACTTTTAAGATTTAGTCTTTAGAAGAAAAACAAACTTACATTATAAACAACATCGTAACAACGACATTCATTAATCGCCATTAATCGAGATTAATGAATTTCAAAATGTGCGATTAATTTGGGAATTAATTAGGGAATAAGGGAAAGCACAGGTTCAGCTACTACCAATGGCGCTGGTGTGTTTGTGTGTCAAGTTTGAGACATGCCAATGTGTCAGTACGAGGATCACAGATACCTTTGCTGACGGTGATGTTGGCGTTAGGAGGAGGTGTGGCCACCTTAAGGGCCAGACCGTAGGCGCCCTGGAAGGAGTTACTGTCTCTTATGAGGAAAGTTCCTGGTCCTTTGTCCTTCAAAACAGCTATGGCTATGGTTGGACACATTAGAGGGGCAACATTTGTTAATTATTAAGTTTCACTACACTTTATGACTTGATCAATACAAATGTTGCACATCCCTCATTATCCTCACCTTGGTCTCTGGAAATGCCGGGTCTGTACCAGTACTTTGAGCTGTCCTGGACAAACTTAGCATTGACCCTGATGTCTGCCTCCTCTCTACAGTTGTGGTGTGAAGATCCCCGTCTCTGCTCTCCGGCAGAGGGACAGAAAGAAACGTGGTGCGTGGGGGAAGGAGCCGAGGAGACCCGTAGAAGAGAGTGGTGTCCGTTTAGGTATCCTGGCGTGGAGGAAAGCCGTTTCTTCTCTGGTAGCGGGGGCTGGACAGCGGGAATGGTGATTGCTGTGTACCCAGTGTATGGTACATGAGGGACGTTTAGTAAAGGGTAGTAATTGGAAGCCAAGGGGAAGGTTGGTGTTTGATATCCGTCAGGAACAGGTGACGGTGGTTTTGTGTCATTTGAACAGTCTCTTTCCAGAGTCAAACTTTCTCCTGCACCGTCTGTGGCTGATGTGGAGCATTGGAGAGAAGACTGAAGGTCCAGGGAGCCAATGGGAGAATTTGGGGAAGTGGTGGAAGGGCTAGAACTTAGACAAACAGAGGGTTTCATGGATGTACCTCTGCTGCTGTCAGACAGGGTATCGCTAGGAAGGGCAGAGCCATTCAGTTGCACCTGGACTGGGGGGATGGTGACAGTGGTATAGCTTGAAGTCCGTGATTGTTGAGATCGCTCTGCACTTCCTGGGAGCTTGGCTTCTCCAAGTTTACAATCAGAGCTCAAACTATGCTCACTTGATGGTTGTGTGGAGTTTATGGACACGTTGGAACTTTGGGTTTGTGTCTCCCTTGGTATTGGTGTGATGGCTCGGTCGCTATTTGCGCTGGACTCCATATATCTAGAGGGTTCTTGGTTTTGAAGAGGGCTATTAGCTGTTACACTGAGGACAAAAGGTTAAAAGTTGGATAATTATTTACAGATCTGTATTTTTGTAATTCTATTCTGAGCTTCAGCGCACGTCAAAAAGAAAACCGTTCCACCCACCTGTCTTCTGTGTGTGTGGGGCTGCTGCTCCCAATGATTGTGTAGTCATGATCAGAGTCCTGTCCAGGGGTGCTTGACTGTCCATTGGAGTCCGACCTACCTTCTGAACCCTGGGACATATCATCCTCCACATCAGCCTTGGCCTGTTCCGCTTCAACATATAAGATTGAACCAGATGAGATGAAGGCATAGCAAGAACTATAATAGCAAGTAACAAACATTTTAATGTTGAATTTAACAAATATGAAACAATCCCCACTGTATCCATTCATTTATTCAGTCACCTTTGTGATGCTCAGAGTGCTGCTGGTCTCCAGATTCACAGGGAGTGTCAGGCAGCCTGCCTCTTACAGGAGAAGGGCTACTAGCGGGCAGAGGGGAGGTTGATCCAGAGTGGTAACCAGAGGCGTAACCCCGGCTCTCATGGCTCGCGGCTGGGGATGACTGATAGGGAGAGCAGGGACAGGAGTGACGGGGCTGTGGAGGGGTGTGGTACCCACTGCTGGCTCCATCCCGCACATCCATCAGCAACTGGGGGCAAGGGTAGCCTTGATGAGGTCCGATGGCATATCTAGGCTCCATATTTGGACTCTGATTCAAAGTGGAATGGCACACGTGAAATGCAGGCTCGGCGGATTTGCACTGCCAAAACTCTGCCTCTCTCACGCCCTCCCATGGATTTTCACTTTCCCAAAGCGTAGGCGCCTCTCTTGTTCGTTGCATCCCAACTCCTTGGGACCATTGTGGGTTTTCTGTTTCGTCCGGGTGCAATGGATGGAACGCTCGTACTGAGGCTGATTGGTGCTCTCGCCTGCCAGTGCAGTCTCGACAGGGGCAGCCAGAGGACTGTGTTTGAGAGCTGAAGAACATTTCCCTGTAAGGGCTGGAGGGAAGTGATTGATGGGAGAGATGAGAGGCTGGATTGTGGTTGGAATAACGGAGGAGGTGACACTCTTCCCCAGTGCAGAGTCTGTTTAACGCTGGGAGGGTGTGGCTGTTGTGGTGGGTGTGATCAGGGGTGGAATAAGGAAAGCAAGGCCTGAGGAGACAGGGCAGGGGAGGCAGTGGGGCTGGACGTTCCCATGGTAACTGTTGTAAAGGATGGACGCTATGTCGATGACAGATCTCCATATGAGTTGATGGAGGAGGCGGGGACACCGATTTGGTTGGCAAGGCTGGCAGAGTTTGGCTTTTTGGATTCTTTTTAGTGACATTGCAACGGCCAAGACAATGAGCGTCAGAAAGGCAGGGTTCTTGTTCCCTCCCCCGTCCGCCATTGCCAAACTTTGCACCCGCTTGACCACAGCACGAGTGTTCTTGCCTCAAACCTCCTAGGATTGGCGGGTCTCCGTCATCTAAAATCTCTGTCTCTCTATCTTTCTCTTTGCCTCTTTTTTTCTCCTTTGCTCCATCTCTCCCATCCCCGCTCCTTGATGGACGGTCAGTGTTTTCTCCATCTGGCCGCATTATTGTCAGAGAGGGTTGTTCAAGGTGATCAGAGGGGACTGAGAAGTGGCTTGGGGTCTGAGGCTTGACTGTTGGGCTGCTGGTAAGGCACCCGTTGGGTGATGCTGCTGAGGCAGTGGAGCCCGGCCCACGACGCTTCCTCACCTGGGCATACAGGCTGCCGTCCAGAGGGCCTCTTGTATGAGAGATATCTGCTGAAAACAAGCAGGGGATGAGACGTCTGATAAACTAACACCAAGCTTACACTTTATACTGTCTGTGTGTGTGTGTTTCTTACTTTCAATGCTGTCTTGGTGGTGCAGGTTGAAATTCTCATAGGAATCCCATCTGATCACAGGCTCTGAGATGTTGTAATCCACTTTGATGGAGGCATCATTCTCGCGGTATTCTCGACCTAGGAAATAAGACACTTCACAATGAAGCTGATGAACACAGAAAAAGAAAGATAAGCCATGAGAAATAATTGATAATATTCACCTTTAATTTTATCCGGCCCATTGGAGAAGATAAACTCAACTGTAGCATCTGGAGGGAACCTGTCATCTTCAGAATACCAAGCAAAAAGGCAGTGACTAAATACTCAAACTACTGAGACCAATAAAAACATTCAAAAGAAAGGGCTCCTAATATATGAAGTGGGAACACCAAACTTAATAGATGAAGATCCCCAACAGAGCATACCACTCCAAAGAATTGTATCTAAAATGAGTTTTTCTTAACTTTGATGCAGAGTAGGCAAGCGCTATTTATAAATTATTTGCATGCGACAGCATGTAGCACTTACAGTATCTGTTAAGAGACTGCTGCTTATTGAGCAGTTTACAAGCTTTTCTGTTCCATCTAAACTGACACTGTCATTGCATGTGTCTCACACACACACCGTAATGGACTGAGAGATAAGGGGCTTTCGAATTAAACAACCATTTGAATCATTTCAATTAATAAATAGAAATATATATGAGGTTTCCATTTGTCCATTCACATCTTTGAAATATTTTAAAGGTTTAGTGCAGTAAAACTTGTGCAGTTCCAACAACCTTCAGCAGTGATGTATTCTGTAGTTTTCCTTTTGCACTTGTATCATAAAAAACCTTCACCACTCTCTCTCTCTCTCTCTCTCTCTCTCTCTCTCTCTCTCTCTCTGTACTCTTTTACTTTGTATTGAGTTCATGACCGTCCAAAAACAGAAGCCGCTTCTCCTCTCTATTCTATGCAATTCCTAAGGAACCATTGATCTTCTGTTTATTACCTGTGCAGGCGAGGTCCAGTTCAGTTTTGCCAAACCACAGCTGGGCTCCGTGGACAGTACAGGTATGAAACTGAACTCTGAACACCACCTCCCTCTCTGCTGCTTGACTCCGACGATGGTAGCACTTCACCTGTAGAGATATTTCGGTAAGAAGGCTATGTGCAATGGAGGCTTGTGTCATATGAACCCTCTCAAAACACTGATATCTCAAAACAGTGAATGCAAGTTTTATGAGGAGTGCTACAATGCTCTTTTTAGTTGGATTTTATAACGTTGGTGCATGTTGCTGCTGTGGCAACTGATTACCCTTTTTATCCTTTCAAAGAGACATGCTAGACAGGATAGGAAACTCAATATGCATGTATGTTCATAGTCTATAGGGGATTTGTTGCTTAAGTGGATTAAAAATAAGCAGGCACTTTTAAAAGCATAGGTTACAAAATTGCATCAAAGAGAAAAAAAACAGTTTTGTTCTTTCATAGCTGTTTGGTGAGCAATTGATTCTATTACAGTGGTGTACTCTATATATGGATTGGATTAGCTAATTTGAAATATGTAAGGTTTCCAATTAGTGACACAGTACACAACAAGCTACAGCTCACCATAATGTCCCCCTTTAATAAAAGCGCTGGCTCCACAGTAACACACAGCTTCCTTGCCCTGGAGCTCTGAGGATCACTGGACACACACACACGCACACACACACACACACACACACACACACACACACACACACACACACACACACACACACACACAAAAATACACTGAATAAAAAAACTGCTACACCAGCTCAAACACACATAATACCAGTAAAAACTCGTCTCAGTTGGGTACAACAGTGGTAAGCAATATTTAACTTTTACATAAGCAAAGACCGGCTTACACCTAAACACAGACAGCAGCCTGCATAGGCAACATCTGTCAGTTGGACAGGGAAAGGGAAACAGTCTGCCCGCAGCAGGTGAGATGGAAACATAGTAACTGGAGGTATGGGACACTGCACTTACTAGACCCCTGATGTATAGACGAGCTGCAAGGACTGATAGATTTTCAGGAATGGATAGAAACCTGCAGATACAGAAAGAAGTTAGTGAAAAATGAGTTTGCAAAGTTGTTTCACTTTAAAACAAGTTGGAAATTGCCTTAATTGCACTGCGAGCTATTATGCAACATAAGTTTGTGTAAAACTGACCTCCCCCTGCCTGGAAGTTTGGTAGTGATGGAATGAGGACCTGGTGGAGGAACAGGGCACTGCTGTTCATTTTGATGGTGCCTGATAGCAGCCCGCCAAAGTAATAGATGTACCTGAAAAAGAGATGTGGGGAAATATTTTAACTAAAGCATGGAGACTGAGGCGAGCTGCAGGAAACTCAAAGTGTGTCCCACCTGTTCTGAGAGGGCTGTAGGGAAGAGGAGACTTTGTCTTCACAGAACTTTCTCATTGCTAGAGTGGTGAGAGCCTGGTCCGCTCTGTGGAAAAAAACACAGTTTGATTAATAAAGGCTTTAACACAGATCTCTGTAAGCAAAAATTATGTAGGACGTATTCGTGCCTCTGGAGGTAATGAGTAAATCCTGGCTGTTGTTGGTGACTTAATTTAATCTTTTCTACATACGGCTTTATGGATATTTAGATTTTCTCAAGCTAAAGCATGCCAACAAACTTGATAATCAATTAACAATAACAAAGTTTGGAAAAAAGAATCCCAAACATGTATTGGTTTCAGTTTCTCTTGATTTGTTGATATGTTTCTGAGCTTTTGGAAAAGTAATATAAATATACAAGCAAAATATTGGTGTTTTTGACTGTTGTTTGGAAGAAAAAACAAGCTATTCAATTATGTCAACTTGGGCTCTATAATGCTATTTTTTGTATTAATTTATCATTTCTACCATGATGATGATGATGTAAAATTATTATTGTGAAAATGTTTAAACGTTTAATTTGACTGAATGTGATCAAAAGGGTTAAGGCCTTGATGACAATGAAACAAAATGATCTAAAGACATTATGCTGAATAAAGTACTATGACTTCAGCACAACATTAAAGTGGGAATGTGGTAAAGAATTTTGGCAATCTTTCATTATATGAATGCAGATTTCATATCAGGCATGAATACAAAACAAACAATTGATCTTTACACATGCTGGTATAACGAGTGCGTTGTTAGATTGATGATCATGTAGTTTACCCAGCTGATATCTTGCTGTAGTGCATGTAGGCTGCCACAATGACCCCCGTCTTTCCTTTATTTCCCTGTCAGAGCACAGATCAAAGTGATGAGGAATTGCTTTTTCCACTGTTTTGAATTCTTTACAGCAAGGCAAGCAGATGTGGATTTAGGCTGCACTGACCTTGCAGTGGAGGACCACCACATTGTTGGGGTCAGACGTCAGCCAGGTCTCCATGGCTTTACAAACAGCACAAATCCTGTCGAGGGGTGGGGCATGAACATCAGGCCAGCCGTAGTCCTGCACCTGAGGAGGAAAGATGTTCGAAATTGTTTTCAAACAAGACCAAGCTTTCCATATTCCTTGAAAATACAAAGTGCTCACTTGTGTGAACTTCTAAGATGTAAATACTAGTACCTTTGGGTTAAGTCGGGTGATGTCATGTCTCTTCTCCGATAAATTCAGTAGCTGTAAAAAGCCGAGATACGAAATATTTCACAAATCTATTTTTACATATCACCCACACACTGAGCAAGAAATACAGAATATAATAGAATATAAAAGAAAACAGTAAAAGAGAAGATGTTGTTTAATACTCTTTATGTATCCAGTTTTATGACTTACCAAGAATGTGTCCTGGTGCTTGGATTTCAGCATTGAGGCCACTTCCTGCAGGTTTCTGCGGTAGTGCTGCTCTTCCAGGTCGGGCAGGAAGAAGACGGAGATGATTCGCTCCGTGATGTAGGTGAGATCAAAATCATAGTGACGCTCCATCACATCCTCCATCGCTTTTTCCATACTTTTACTCCTGGACATTGTGAGTCATTAGGTTTCTTATTTAATTATACCCTGCAATATATTTCTGTACAACCAATTTTCTGTTGTTGCATGTGTGATTCAGGCTTCTTGGTACCTTGGTATGGAGCCTCTCTTATTCTGTTGTGTGGATTTAGTGGAGCCGTGCTGAGAAACCATAAGGAAAAAAGTAACTCTACTGTAATGATTATTTGGATAACATTAGACTACTTGCAGACACTCACCAGGTCGGACGTTGAGGTACAAGTGGGAGTCACCTGAAAGAAAAGGAGCGTATGGTTGCTCTCAGTATATAACCATGTACACACTCACACTGGTAATAAACCAGCACATGCCGAATCATGTCTTTGTTTAAATGCTCTTGTTCCTCCTTCAGCAGCAGGGACACAGAGATGGAAGGATGAGGAGAGAGCATGAAGAGCTGATGGTGAGATGGTTATTTCTGTCATCTGCAGCAGCTCCTTTGAAAAAGAAGCTGTCAGTACAGATCTGGATGTTCAGCATGATGACTTTGGGATGATGTCAAAAACAGAGACACAAGAAGAAGAAGAAGCTTCTGCACACATGTCTACAGAAGACAACATTGTGCTGATTTCTTGGAGTTCTTCTTTTGCACACTGTAAATGATGTTTATTAAGCTGCCCAGGCAACTTAATCAGAAGAGTGGCTCAGTATAATATATATATTATACAATTATACAGTTGTGGTCAAAAGTTACATACACGCACATAATGACATGGCTCTCTTGAGTTTCCAGTAATTTCTACTACCCTGATTTTTCTCTGATAGAGTGATTGGAACAGATACTTCTTTGTCACAAAAAACATTCATCAAGTTTGGTTCTTTTACGACTTTATTATGGGTTAACAGAAAAAGACACAAATGCTACAATGGGAAAGTCAAAGGAGCTCAGCATGGATCTGAAAAAGAGAATCATTGACTTGAACAAATCAGGAAAGTCACTAGACCAAGAGCAACAGTGCAAACAATTGTTTGTAAGTATAAAGTGCCTGGCACTGTTTTGTCACTGGCACCATCAGGAAGAAAACGCAAGCTATCACCTGCTGCTAAGAGAAAATTGGTCAGGAGGGTGAAGAGTCAACCGAGAACCACCAAAAAGCAGATCTGCCAAGAATTAGAAGGTGCTGCAACACAGGTGTCAGTGTCCACAGTTAAGTGTGTTTTGCATCTCCATGGACTGAGAGGCTGCCGTGCAAGAAGGAAGCCCTTGCTCCAAAAGCGGCACCTTAAGGCTCGACTGAAGTTTGCTGCTGTTCACATGGACAAAGATAAGACCTTCTGGAGGAAAGTTCTGTGGGCAGACAAAACAAAAATCGAGCTGTTTGGCCACAATGCTCAGCAATGTGTTTGGAGGAGAAAAGGTGAGGCCTTTAACCCCTTTAGCCTACCGTCAACCACGGTGGTGGTTGTATAATGCTGTGGTGCTGTTTTGCTGCCAACGGAACTGGTGCTTTACAGAGAGTAAATGGGAAATTGAAGAAGGAGGATTACCTTCAAATTCTTCAAGAACTTAAAATCATTAGCCCGAAGGTTGGGTCTTGGGCGCAGTTGGGTGTATTAAATAATCAAGAAATACATTGATAACACAACTTAACTAAACCAAAATGAAGGAAATGAGCAGACAAATGGAAGCAAAGTCAGTGTTGTAGCACATTTACAGGCTCTGACTGCAAACCTTGAAGGGTCACACCCCTGTCAACCTATGACCTTTGAACTATTCCATGAGATTGATTGACAGACCAGGTGCCCTCTATGGCTGACCAAGGCCAGTGCTGACAGGTGTCAGGCAACAGGTCAACAAGTCAAATATCTGCAATTGTAATTGCTGATCTACAGCTCAGACAAACAATGGCGGCCGTGCAGAGATACTCACTCTGTAGTGTTATGTTGATAGAAGAAACCAAGGTATGGTCAATATCGTGTGACATTTTAAAAACTACTTTTCCATTTTTTGATTTAAGTCATAAGTTACTGTTGTATGTTGGTTTTAAGCTAATTTGTAAACTATTGCACTACAATAATTATCAAGCACGTTTTGATTTGAGCTCCAGATAAATTTGATGGTGAGGTTGATTTAGTCTTTGTTCAGATAGTCTTAGGCATATCACGTTGACAGCACTGTCAATATAACATAAAGACTAAGGCAACCAGTGGTGCATTTATTTTACCTCTGTAAGAGGCCGCAGCATCATGATCCTCATGCAGCTTCATCAAAAAGAGAAATGAATAGTGCAGCAAATCATTGGTTTTCTTTTACATGGTAAAAACCCAAGTGGCAACCTCATTTCAAGTCAAACTGCATTACGAAGGGGGGACACATACAATAATAACAGAGTTTGGCACAGAGTGGTTGGTAAAAAGGAGGGAAATAAACGGACATTTGATCTAGGGACGGATGAGTGACATGCTGGAATTGCTTTCTGCATGGCAGAGAACAATCAATATGCAACTGCTGAACTCAGGCTTATGTTGTGACTATCGTCTTGCAGGTCTCACACATTGAATAACACTAGAAAATGAAGGAAACTATCGTTCTTTTCTCCTAATAAGTTTAATAATAGTGGGTAAAGTGGTCGGCTCCAGGAAGGAAAGAACAGCAGGAGACAGAGACAACACACACACACATACGTAAACACAAACATGCACACAGAAGAAGACTATGGTTGAACTGACATGCAAACCAGAGTCAACAGGAAGCAATTTGCAACAGGAACTCAACACTGGTCAACCACGTGCACACACACATACATGCATGCATGCACGCACACACGCAAAGGGTAAACATGTGTTTTGGTGGCTCTGCCAGCCTCAGGGTCTTCATTAAAGCATGCGGACTGCACGCTGGAGCCACTGGGAGCAGAGCCATCTGGTTCAGTTTGTCCTGTTCATCAGCTAGTGTTTACAGAGGTACTAGTGGCGGCACTCAATGCCGTCCTCAGAGACTGACTGACTTCGTCTGGAGTGGACTCGAGGTCTGGTCATTTTGCTGGTCTCACAACGCCTTGTTTGCCAGGCAACAGTCCTTGCTCATTTATTAAAGCTTCTATTAATGCTTTATTACAGGGATGGGATCAGCTATCGCATGTCTTATCTAGCACAAAGACTGGAAATAAGGAAAGACCTTGCTTCACTTTTTCCATAGTTTAAACAATCCTTCTTCCACCATCCTATTAAACTTACTTATGTACACGTTGTAGTTCAAAGGTGCTGGTAGGTAAATGTACACCTTTTTCCAGTTTTCCACCTTTAAGTTAAGCCAAGTTGCTGCCAGCTCCAGCTTCATTCATTCATTGTATATAAACAGCTCATTCAACAACAACAACATAACTACCTTTTTATTTCATGTAGTTAAACTTACTTAATCCATTATGTCAATAGATCCCTCCAAAGTTTACACAATGTATCTTTGCTCTTTGGAAATTGTGATGGCATTTCTCACTTACTTACGACATATACATCTGATCAACTAGACATTTGATTGATTAATTGAATGATTTATCAATAATCTATACTGATTGTTAAGAGTGAATCCTGACTTTCTGGCTTCTCCTATTCCAGTAGGAGGTATCCCAACAAAGAGATCTGCAGAGAGAGCAGCTAAGTCAGTTCCAGGGAAGCCGCAGATAACTTTGAGAGACGGGCGGCGGCATGCCGTCTAGGAGGAAGTGAGTTTCATTCTGACAGTCGACTCATAGCTGACATCGCATTCTGGAGAGGGAGAAGTGAGTAAGCCTTACCGTTCGATAATGGAAAAGCAAAGTAACTGTGACTTATTCCAGATTCCACAGTCTCACAAAGAGAGCGTTAAGGCCCAAGTCCACGGAACTTGTTTTCCGTTTCACCCACATTTCCAGAGGGAAAATTTAGGAGTGGCCGTTATTTAGGAAAGTTCACTTGAAAGTGAAGTTTTTTCTCTCATTATCGCTCTGCTTCACTCACATCTTTGATCCCTAATTTCTGCATTTCTGAGCCAATGGTGTCTGTCACTGCCCCCCGTCGTTCCAACTCCAACTATTTACTTCCAGTGCCTGGGGACAAGATAACCACATTCATCACTGCCAAGAGATACAACATCAGATGACACCACGATAAGCATCACTCATACCCGGGGAAAGTCACTCACTCACCGTCCCTGGAGGAGAAGGGAACAAGAGGTTGTACAACTCAAAGCAAAAACACAATCTATCCAGGGAGTGGAGCTATGGACAGAGCTCAGAAGGGGAGAAAAAGGCATCAGGAAGATGTTAAGAAGGGAAGAGGAGAGGCAAACAGAAACGTGTGACAGAGCGAGAGCGAGTGCAGGAGAGAGATGTCAACAGCTGAACACGCTGACCACTGACACACGGCGGAGTGATTTCACTAAGCTATTTTAATAGAGTTCCTTATTTTAGACCATACGTCCGTCAGAACACTTAAAGGCTTATTTTGTCTATTTATCCAACAGTCATCTCAGTTTTCTTTCAGGCAGCAGCAGAACTGACATTCTCAAGAGACCCGGCAATGAGTCTGTATTAAACTCTCTGTCTTAATCCATCATAGCAACATACTCTGGGTCCTGTGTGTTTTTTCCCTAACATCCATTATTGAAAAATAAGATTCCGTGATTAATAAGCAAGTCCTGCTTGGCTTTGTCACTCAGGAAATTAAAAGCAATGTGTCAATGTAAACACAGTCCATGCATCCGTGTGTGTTTGTGCAGTGTCCCTGTAATACCTATTTATTGATAAGACTAGCAATCCAGTAAAATGTAATTATCCATGATAATTATTTGTACACAGTGCACCATGCTGGTTATAAATAGCAGCAACAATGTGACCACTTTAATGAAGTAACACAGATGCTCATCTAACAGGATATATCCACTTCAACCGCTATCCCACTGAGTTCTCTGCCAGTCCGTATCGACTTAAAGCACTTTCTACCCTCCAATTGATGTGCTATGACACGTGGAGCAGGCAGGACAGCGTTTCCCCCAGTGTCCCGAGGGGAGACACTAACAGAACAGAGGCAGGAGAAACAGAGCACCCATTAGGAGAAAGAAGTTCACAACTTCTGGAGATGAGCTATAGACATATAAATGATTTGACATGAGTCACACTGCAGATACATTGATAACTGCATAAATAACACCCTATAATTAACCAAAAAACGTATTTTAAAAAAGTGTTTGACTTCCACTAATTAGGATGGATCAACAACACCATGTTTAATACTTGCTTATTAGACAAACACATATTCCATCAATTATCATAATTGCTATAACAATTCATTCATCAGCTAGAATATTAGCAGACACAGCTGGTCTCTGTGGCGTGTGATAAACACAGCAACCATCTGTATTTGACTGCAAAACATTATGATCCATCAGATTGTGTTTGGACAGCATAGTGTGGCACTCATACATTTGTCTGTCAGTTGCGCTTTGGGCTTTGGTCACAGATGATACACAGACAAGTATGCACAGTGTTGAGGTAGACAGATATCCTTCCGTAGATACGGTGGGAAATTGCATTCAATATAGGTTACGCAGAGCATGCAATGAATGGTGATACATATAGATGCACGCTGGTGTATGCAGACACTTGCCGACAGAAGCATGTCCTTAACCACATCTAATCTATTCCCATATCGGCCACAGCAGTTTTACAATATCTACAAGCATGTATAATAGCATATGGAACAGGTTTTAGTATGGTTTCTGTAATTTACTAAAATGCACGTATACCAAACTATCTCATTAAAAAGTAAATTTTTTACTTTCGAGTATTAAAAATTAAAATCTGTGTATTTTTTGTAGGTCACAGCAGGAGTCTCTGCTTATATTCCCTGGACTTGCCTGGATCACAGACATTGAAATCCTCTTTCATGAGCGATGCTAGAGCTCCTTTGCTCCTTAATGGAATCATGTGCACACATGCATCACATGCCGCATTATCAGAGCAAACACTATAAAGAGGTTTTAAGGTTTTCAGACCTCTACTCAATGGAAAAGAAATACAGAAATGAGTCCAAATTGCAGAATACATAAGAACCCACTAAATCCAAAAGGCTGTACTCAGTAAATAAAGAGAGTGTCTTTACCTCTGAACAAGCAGCTTCAGTCTTCCCCTCTGCCTCTGAGCAGTCCTGTTCGTAGAGTGGGATACGCCACCTCCCTGTCTCCCTCCCTCCTCTCTTTCTCACACACACACACCCACCCACACTCCCACTGTGCTGGCAGCACACGCAACATAGCTTTTCCCCTCTCGCTATGCCTGCGTCATAAGCACGGAGACACTAAAACACTAAAGCGCTCGCGCTTGCACGAGCACTCACACACACACATCAATACACAACGTGGGGGCACCGGGCAGCCCTGCAGAGTGCCAATGTCCAGTGACCTCCCCAGAGGCCTGGGGCTAAGAGAGAAGTGGCGGCAGGACAAAGAGGCAGGAGTAGATGGACTGCGCAAAGAATACAATAGACAATAGAGTCAATAGACATAGACTCTGTAAAAATAGGGCTGAATGTTATTGAGATGATTCTAAGCTGGCAAAACACACTGATGAAAGCATTGAAAAGTTGAGAGAAACTTTCACTGTGACTGTCAGAAAAAGGATAAATTTCTACACAGATGAAAGGTAAAAAAAGATGATGACAGTGAGATGCAAGAGATGAAAGAATGGGCAAAAATAAAGAAGCAATATGTTGTCTTGTGAGAAGCACGTAGAAACATCCAGTGGACATGAAGCCGAGGGCAATTTGTAGCCCTGACCCAATGTCCCCCAAACGGGACTGATTTACACACAGTCGGCCACCCCACCTGCCTCTCACTTATTTGCACCGCCCTCCCGCACCATCACTCACTGGCAGGCATCTGCGGCACTCTCGTTATTTTCTATATTTACCCACTCAGACTTCTCCTACCCAGAATGATCATCGTCCCGTGTGGCAATGTCCACTCTCGTCCGCGGCGCCTGACTCTCCTGCAGCCAACCAGAGTTGTTTTTGGCTGTCGCGGTGGTGACCAGGGGGACGTGCATGACAAAAATAATAATCCTCTTCTAATACATGCTGCAAAGGCACAACAGCTGGCACGGCCCAGCTTTACACTTTTACAGTGTGTGTGTGTGTGTGTGTGTGTGTGTTGCAGAAAAGGGCAGGGAGGCAACCCCACCCCCCTTCATAAATCCCACAAAATTTGAGTTGCCCTGACGACTGACGATCTGAGAAATGTGAAATTGAGAGTTTTTTTCCGGTGTGTTTGGGACTGTTGGACAGCAGCGCGGTTACAGTCGTGAGCTCACTCTGTTCTGTGTGATACTGAGCTGCTGTGAGCTCGGTCCCGAGAGAGCAGAGGCAGCCACTCTGGTCTGACATAATCCCCTCCCCTCTCACTCAGCACAAAAAAACATCCTTTTATAATAAAATAATCCACTCAAAAACCAAAACATAGATGAGTCTCCTTGCTCAAAACACAGTCCTTTGCATAGCAGTCTTATCCAACAAGATCCCTATGAAGACAATCCCGTCCCTACCTCCTTTATGATTGATTTGACCTTGGGTGATTTTTTTGCAGAATTTAAGAAAGAAATTCTCTTTCTGGTTTCTTTAATTAGATTGTATATACTTCACAAACCTCATAAGTCATGTGGGACCTTTATGTTTAAAAGGTAAAGCAAAATTGGCATCACACGAATACAGAGAAATTAGATCAACAGAATGCGCTATATAACTGGTTAACCAACACTAACAGAAGTGAAAATAATCTTTTAAGGATAACAGATAATTTCACTGCTTTCAATGCAGTTCACCTGACTTTTTATCAAGCATCATTAATAGCACTTAAATCCGTAACAAAAGATTCATTTATTGACACATTGACACACATTCACATTATTTGCCGTATTCATGTTAACACCTTCTATACATACGTATTGTCCTCACTATTAGTAGTTTAGTATTTCTTTACAGGGCTCTCAGGGACACTGTGAGCTAATTACAACAGAATAACAATGCTTCTACGGCTGAACTTGTATAAATATATTATTATAATGGAATTGTTCAAAAGGTTTTTCTTTAAACACAAACTGTATTATAGAGGCCTCCAGGGTTTTTGAGGACAGTGGCTCCTGCGGTGCCACGTTAACACATGACTGACTGATGCGTAGCTCGCATACCTCTTAAAACACACATCTAGGTCAGTGCACATGGCTTAGTCCACTTAAAGCTCACATCTGAACCTCTGACACGGGAGCACAATTTTCTGTGGACAGGAGGAAGGTTGAATGTGGAAACGTTCAGCTTACCTTGGCTTTACACATCTTGTGAACTGCAACCTTGCACTCTGCACACAGAAAGGAGAGTGCACACATTATTCGGACAGTGAGCATTGAAAACCAGTCCGGTTGACCTCTTGTGAGATCCATAGGTGCCACCTACACTTGTCACTTGGCTCCCTGGCTGTACTAACGGCGACGTGGACTCACCCTTGCAAAAAGCCCCAGGGTTGTCAATGTTCTGCTTGCACACATCGCACGCCCGTTTCCTCTTGAAGCTCTTCTCTGTGAAGGTGTGGCTCGCGGTGGTTTTGACGAGCTGTAGATACACAAATCAATAAAATGAGTGAAGAGGAGAAGAGCTTCAGCCCACGACAATACTTGCACTTGATCATTAATTAGACTGAAACCATGTGAATACATTTAGCTAAAGTTGCCCTATGTGGCTCAAGCATTTTATCTCAGCATTAGAAGGTCACTATCCCCTCTCTGCTGTCAGAGCAGATGTGTGCTGGTTAGGTGACACACCAGCATGAGCACTATGCCCTATCCGATGTGCACATTCAGCTTCAACGCCATAAATTCCTGTCATATCACGCTGCGCTTTGAGGAATCCTGTCGTCTTGTTTTGTCACTTGTCCTCAGTCTGTAGGGCGGATTGAAGCAGGAGCGTCCTGTGCTGCCACCCTCCTCTAATGTGCTGGGATGAATGACATAGACGAACAGATGAAAACAGAATCCTCTGTCTCGATCTGGTGGGTGAATCGGGATAGCATACTGTACTCATCCTAGAGGCTTTAGCCGTCAAAACACGCATGCATCCACATTTTCTAAATGGGAACATGTGTAAAGGTATGAAAAACTAAAAGCAAGAAAGATATAATTAAAGACGTTAGAGACATGTACACTTGTAAATTGACCTAAGAACAAATGGCACAGATGGTACTCCAATGTAACCAAAGGGCCAATTTGATGAATCCGCCTCTACATGCTTCCACAAAAACATGTCCGACTTCAATTAAATAGTCAGAGGAAAATGTTCCAATGTTGTGACATGGTTTGCTGATGCCATTCTAGATGATTGTGAAGTGTAATTCAGTTTGCTAGATTAAATGTGTAATTCATTCTGTGAGTCAATTCAATTGAATCGAACCCGGTATTATATAAGCTACTGCTTAAAGCTCATCAGAAATCTCACAAGTGTTACTTTAATGCTGATGCCAGGATTATTCAAGTACAACTTAGAAACAGTGGTTGCAGAGATACTCGTAATTTTTGGACATGCCTTTTTTAAGCCTGAGCCAGTTTAAGAAGAAAAAAAACGAATGTCCTTTGGCATGCGAAAGTTAAAACACTTAAAACTTTCCTTGACATTTCCTTGACAGAATAAGGAGGTTACACAGAAACATCACAAGTGTGTGTATGTGTGAGAGAGGCAATAGGCGAGGTGGAGAGCCACAAACACATCATTTTCTAAAACATTTTTCCAGTTTAATGACTGCATTTTCTGGTCTTGAATAAACATTTTCCCCCAAGAATTTTATACTTTTTCCGATGCCTGGCTTTTTCCAAAGGGGGGAGGGGGAGAGGCATTGAGTTCAACTCCGGAAGATAAAGGTACATGTACACCAGCTTGGACTAACACACTAAAACCCTTTTTTATTGACTATCCGAGACAGAGAGAGTGGTAGGAAACTCATTCTATTAACCACGATGCTCTATAAAACCGCCACGTCTCCCGAGGAGACAGTCTAAATCCTTTATCACTAGAGATGCAGAATTAATGTTTCAGTCCTGCCCTGAGCTTTGTATGCTTACTAATATGAACTTGAATGCAGCTGATTCACTCCGACTAAACTTCACAATCCTCAATAAAACAAATCCACAGAATATGAGAGATGCTTCTCCATGTGAATGTTTTCCAGTTATCCATTTGCTAACAGTTTCTGCTGTTATTAAAGCCCTTGTTTACGATTATAAAGCAGTAGCTATCTTATATATTATATATATATCTTATAACTAGTGCACTAGTGCATTCACTTTAGAAATAGTTGATTACTCTTCCCATCTCATTCAACGACAATATTAACTCTAGTGAAAAAACAGGGATTTATTTTGATCACTGACCTATCCTGTTCAAGCTCACAGGCCCGGGTGGGACAGATTACCCTTATGCTGTATGTATTGATCTCAGAGCAGCAGAGTAACATTGGACTATTGGCAGATGTCCTCTGCTGTTGTGATGAAGGGAAAGCGGCTGTAAATAATGGAATCCACAGAATGCGTTGAAGCTGGGTATCTGAGTGTAGCAGTGTAAGTGTGTAAAAGAGTGAATAACTGAGTGAGAGTGTGTGCGTGTGGTGGGGTGCCGGGGGTTTAGGAAGGGACACAATGGGCCAGCAAGCCTGACAAAAAGGGGGCATGTGAGTGAAGAGTAGGATCATCATTTCCTCCAGCAATTAACATGTGAAATGTTGTTACATACTTCATGAACTTTGGAGGTTGAATTGAGTGGACTTCAGAGAACCCTTCTGGAGATCCACTACAGTATAATAGAAGGAGAGTCGAAGCATACTCACGGGCAAAGGACAGCTACAGCTATTATCAGAAACCTACTGTTCATGCGTAAAGAAGAATTCCAACATCAGAATAAAATCTGAAAATGTTTAATAATGCTATAATATCTATCTAAAGATATAACAAAATAGGATCTAATATATCAATATCAACATCAAAGTTAGGTTAGATTAGGTTGAATAGGTAGCGGCCTATTTATGTTTTTGGCAGCTGTAGTAAAGCTGACACTGAACTGGGTAA